ATAAATAATAAATGTCCATATTATTATTATTATTATGAAACAAATGAGCATGCAATGCAAGTACAATAGTACATTACTGTAAGTGATTACTTAGTAAACATTTTTCCAGCTCTGAAATGATATCTTTACATATATTTAGTATATTCTTATATTACAGTTGCACATAATGTATATGTAAAACACCCCAGTCGACCCATACATTTGTATATGTCTATTCATGAAAGGTTGGTTATTTTGTACATAATTTACAAAGGAACCATAGGGATATAAAAATCTTTTTTTTTTAATCCCCAAATTGAATAAGAAATATCAGAGAAAAAGTTTCACAATGATCTTGCCTTTGTTCATTTTAATTTTATCATATATATTTGTTGTTATCAATAGAACCAGTTAATGTTGAAAAATCTACTGATAAACAGCAAAAAATATTGCATACATCTAGTGCTCAATATGAACGCGTAAATTTTATGCTGATGGTCTCAAATAGGTCCAACAAATCAAAGCTGGCAGATGAGCGCCGAGATTGTAGACTCCTACACAGCTTCTTAGGTTGTGAAGGGATATCAGATGGATCTGGGGGAAAAAGAATATAAAACACTAGGTCAGAAACAAAGCTCATATCAAAAATTGGCGATAGCTTCGCTGTCATTTCAAAAATTTCAGATAGCTTTGGCGTCTTTTAAAAATTCTTTAAATGTTTCAAAAACAAAAATTCATATTAGTCTACAAGTCATTTCGAAAATTGGCAATAGCTTCGCCGTCTTTTCTATTTTAAAATTAAAATTGTTGATACTGATAGCTTTACAGCCGCCATGTCTATCTTCATGTTAGAAAAAGTGCCCCTTGTCTAAATATGCTTTCTATTTTGACCCCTATTGAGTGTGCAACTATAATGGCTTCATGCACTGATTACAAAAAAATGTAAACAACACACCACATCCCAGCACTAAATAAACCAGTTTAAAATAATGCTGTTTTGACCAGGACAATAAGTTAAACTAACTAGGAAGGCATGTCTAAAGTTAAGTAAAGCCTGGCTCAATGCGTCCAACTTGTCCGACATTTTTTTTGTTTTCCATTAGACCTAGGCCTATTATTATAATTTACAGCTAAGGAGGGTCTACATGTACGTACATGATTACATCAATGACATAACAAACAAAATTGATGTCAACTCACAGAGGCATTGTAAACGATTCAATCAACTGACAGACTTCATCATTCAAGCTCCATCATGCATGCATAAAGGGCCTAAATCTAGGCCTAGCCCATAGGCCTAGGCCTAGAGCCTAGAGCCTAGAGCCTAGAGGGTCTAGAGTCTAGACTCTATTCTCTAATTGTTTTTTTTTTAATGAGGCTAGAGCTAGATCAAAGTAAAGGCAGGGCCTTAATTTTTGCTGGGTTATCATGGTTATCATGGTTATTGCAAACAAAGAAATTGAAACTCACCTTCAAATTCAGTCTTGTTAGAATCTCGAGGTATTTTACGGAGAAAAGTGGAAAATTGAGACGGATTTCCTTGCCAATGTCGCCGGTATTGAACCGTATACATACAGCGACAGTACCAGTGCAGCGCAAATTACAACATTGTCATTTGCAATGCACCACTGGTACTGTCGCCGTATACAACAACCGTGAAGGCACGTATACGGGCGACATTGGCAAGGAAATCCGTCGCAATTTTGCTCTTTTCTCCGTCCATATTTTTCAAAATATCAGCAGAAGCAAAAGCTTTGGACCATTTTGTGTCTGTAAATTCTTTCAAAACGACATCATTCACAGTCGGGAAGTGAATAAAACACCTCTTTATCTCTGTATCGGTGACGAAACTTCATCGGTGTCATAATTATGGTTGTTAGATGTTTTTATGTAGCGAACGAGGACAATGACGTAGGGAAAATCCCGCCTCGTGATTGGTTGAATTGGACACACCTCCGATTTCCCGGGATATTACCCACGATTATTAGGAGGCAACATAATTATTATCTTTAATTAGTTTTCACGAAAAACCGTAAAGAAAATGAGGAGAACAAACGGTAAATATGTTTGTAATAATTTTCTTTATATTTTCATACTGGTTTGGTCGACTGCCACTGATGGGACTACGAAACAACACAATACAGTGACTTGCCCTACAGTCTATTACCTCTGGAATAAGTTGATTTGAAGGTCTTTCGTTTGATTTTTTGCAATAAATAAATTAATTTTATTTTATGATTACCATATCTTTATTTTTTATGAATTTATGAAATTCAAACTTCGAATTCGAAAACCTCTTAAATGATTAGTTGAACTGTATATCACCGGCCAAGGGTCAAATGAATCTGCCCACTCGAACTGATTAGCATTTCGAATCGACCCACCATGTTTGTGTACTGAGGTTTAATTTAGGAAACTCAGCTAAATCTTGCTTCTTTCTCAGTGGTGCCACAATATGCTCTTTTCTCGTCCCACTTCACTTCCCAACCAACTAGTTCCTATTAATGTTCGGCCTTCTTCAACTCATTGTAACTAGTAACCACCTTACGAATCCCCCGCCTCCCGCCCCCTTTATTCTTGAACATTTTTCTTTTCGGAAGCTGTGGCTCTTAGCTGAAATGAACGCACAATTCTATTGGTATACTTATTTTCAAATTACACCATAAGTACCATAACAAAATAAATCAAAGTTATAAAATGAACACAATATACTCCGATTTACATAAAAGAGATTGCCAAGTATCTCCCTGGATTTACGATCCAGACTGACTTATATTTCGGATTGAATAACTGAAAAGTTAATAAAGCAGTACGTGATATTTACATCATATAATCCTGTCTTGTTATCGTGTTTATTTGAAGAGAAAAGGAATAGAGGAATAAAAACAAAATATTATGGTCGACTCGAGGAAGAAAATAGTCAGTTGCAGTTTATTTTATAGTTTATTCAACTTCTCATCCACATCCCTCTACAACAGTGACACACACTATAATATAATATTACAGGTGGTAGGCCCGATATTGATAAATAGGTACTGAAGTTACTTTATTCGAGTCGATATCGTCTAGATTTATAGCTGTGATCAATATTTAAGAAAATTATTTACTATAATAGGTCAGCATAGTTCTACTCCCGTTTCTCACATCAGATTTCATCTGTCCGTGTTTTTTCGTTTTTGTCTGTGTTTCAGTCCTGTTGCTCGTAGTTTTTTTCCCGTTTCTCTTGTTTAAAGCCATTATTAAGTAGTCAGTAGATTTTATTATACTTATTTATGTTTATATTTTCTCAGTTGTTTAGTTAGTTTAGTTTGTCAGCATTTTAATGTATGCATTATTCTTATCTGACGAGTTTGTTCTTTTAGGACATACTCATAAGCTACTCATGAGGGACCTTAAATCCACAAGTCTTGCTTTCAACAAGGTCACCTCATCTTTCTATTGTAACGCCATATTATGTTAAACTTGTTATATTCATGTCATATTTGTAAAGTGTGTTATGAAAGAAAGATAAATAAAACTTGAACTTGAACTTGAACTTGAAATATATAAATAAATAATGCTACTACTTGTATACTACTAGTCGACTACTACTTCTTTTTATTGTAAGGATTTTATGTTCTGCCGAATTTAACATTGTCATTGTGTTATAGTCTACAAGTCCAGGAGTGCCTTTCCATGAAAACACTTGGAGTCAATAATGAGATTAATTTCAGTGCAATGTGAAAAGTTTTAATTGGACGAGGAGTCGAAGAAGGAGAAAGAGTTCAAAATCACAAAAGATGACGGGTTATTGAGAGGGTCTTGTGGTAATCTGGTGACGAACAACTTATTTTGTGTTTATTGTTTACATGTTTCAATAGGACGAGCTATAAATAGGCACCTTACCATTCGGACTCTTAATTCGGTCTTAATCTCCGTTCATTCAGTCGATAGAATTAGGGTGTTGGCAACTTAATTGGTAGCGGAGAAAGTGGGGATAGTGGCAGATGTTGGTTTCAGGGAATTATTTTAAACAGATTATGTAGTTTCAGTGTTGAATTGAAGTAGGACACATTATTGTTGAAAATCATCGAAAGTATCGGCCTACCGCCAACGAACTTCTAGGGAGTTGGAATCCCAACTCCCTGGTAGAGGATTGCTGTATTCCTGTACAGGAAATTGTGATTGCCTGGTTCCCCCGACCCACATTACAAATGAATAAACACCTCCAATTATCGAAAATGTAAATGATGATTGGAAGCTGCTTACCATATACAACAATTTCCATCAATTTTCAGACCCCGTAAAATAAAGTACTGAACTAGAAGGACTTTAGTTAGATTTTGTTTTCTTTCTTTAATCAAGCAGTATGCAAATTCTTCTCATAGGGGGGGTGGGGTGCCCGCTGGTGATAAACTTCTTCGAATGTCGCTCCTCTCTCCGGTCATGGCAAAAAAAAAAAAAAAAAAAAAAAAAAAAAATCGACTTTTACCCCCCCCCCCCCCCCCCCCCCCCCCCCCGCGGTGAAAGAAGGGTTTAGTTATGATTTGATAAGTGATTAACTGATTATCTGTCGTTGAGAGATATGGGGACATTTGCATGAAAAGCCAAAGAACAATAAATTAATATAGCGCCCTCCCAAGACTGTTCACGCTAAATTTAATTCACTTGACCTACTTTTCACACAACCTTCTATGACTTGTTTTAGACTATGTCTGGTCGCTACAGGTACTGCAGGTCGCTCACTATTGTAGAATAAATTGATGAAATTCCCAGCTGTTAAACTGACACCGTTTGTCAAATCTTCATTTCATGTAGCGTCCATGTCGGGAAAACAAAGGTGAGGAATTCGAGATATTTAGTTGTTTCTTTCTGTAGGAAAGTGGTGTTTGTAAAGGTTACATGATAGACGCGCGATTGATCATTGCTAGCAGTTTCCGGAGCGAGCGTCCGCGGGAAACGCCAGGCAGCTTGACTGGTATACTACTGGTAGAGTGGTACGTACCGCACTGGTAGCATAGATATATCGCGCTTTGCGCTCTGCCTGTAAGCTCCGCTTTACCAGCTCGCATTCATTCATATCAAGACAAGTGGAGCTAGAGCTAGATTGGGATCTTCTTCTTCTTCGATGCAGTAATAGTATCTTCATTTGTCATTCTTCCCCATACAGTACATACACAGAGCCAGAGAGCTCGAGAGGGTAACAAACCCTTGAATTGTAAGTTGTTTGTACAAATTGTAGCCAGAATCTGGCAATAATTTTCTTCATCTTGACCTTCGAGTCTAAGTTAGTAGACCCTACAGTTTTATTTAGAAAAGATATGATTGGAAAGAAATATCTTTCTTTCGTACAGGAATTTAGGATAGGAATTTAGAGTATTAAAATGGAAAATCACTGCACTCTAGAGTCTAGATCTAGACTTTTAGCTAATTTGTCCATTTTCTAGAGGTTGAAGCTATTGTCATCATGAACAACGCAAGATTTAATCTCTGAAATCAATAGTTTTTCTGCTTAGTCCGCGGCTGGCTCCACTGATCGACCTCTTTACAGAGACTGAAATATATTGTACAGGTTAGTGAGAGGAGGATTTGCAATAAAATAAAAAGGGCAGATTAGATCAAAGGCTATAGAAATAGACCTATTATGATGTCTCATAATGATTTTATGATTATTTTGAAATTGTATGAAAATTCCAATCATATTAAAAAAATATATACTGTTAAGACTAGATAAAGGGAAAAATTGTGTGAGCTGTAAGGCCGTCTGTGTATGTTGAAGATCGACGGATGTCAGTTTTATTAAAGATTTCCCCATACCAGACGGTTATTTCTGCCTACAGCGCTCGACTAGTATGTTGCGCGTGATCCATCTATCTAGTGTGCCCTCAAAGTTGTTTTCGTCTGTAAATCAGAAACATTAAGAAGTAGCAACCGGAAGACCAACAGGACTACCTTTTCTTCCTTATACTGTCGATGTCGATGTTGATGTTGATGTTGATGTAGATTGGTAATCACACACCAACTGCATTGCGTAACCTCCCCTCACTAACCGATAGTAGGATGTACTTCAGTCTCTGTATAGGAGCTGCAATAGGAGCCGAATGTAGTCTCGTCTTAACTCTCAGCGGACAGAAGCTTGCAGTCTAGATTCAGAATGAGGCGGTACTGTTTAATGTTACTACTGGCTTTTATACTAGCCACACTAGCAGTTATATTACCCCTGATGAGAATATAGTAGAAATGGCTGATATTATCCCTTATAGATTTTAGATTATAGATTCCCTTATAAGTTTGCAAATGCACACATTAAAAAAAAAAAGAACATTTTGACACCATTGCATTTTGATTTCTTTCTAATCTTGTGAAGTTGTACTCCATGGAGATTTGCCTATAAAATAATAGTGGGTTCGCCCCCCAAAAGAAACCCCAAATTTCAGTTAATGTCGAGCCCTGACGATAGTTTGTAAGCTAGCTCTGAATGTCTGAAACCCAATCACCTTTTGGTATCGAATTTGTGCTGGTGCCTACAGTGTAGTTCATTAGCCAAATGCCCTAAAATACCCTCTTAAAACAAAAACCCGTAAAAAGTAGAGAACGACTTCCTGCTGCTCCTTTTTTTCTCTCAAGTTTCAAGTCCAACTGATGAATTGCATCCTCCAAGCAAGGTATGGTACAGACAATTAGATCTACATAACTTATCATATGTAACGGTCAACAGAGAACTTGCTAAGGACACATATGACCTGTATTTTGATGACACATTTGTGCTTTTGAATCCTAATAAGTTAAGAGGCATGGATGACTAACTGTTTTTGTTTTCTTAGGAAGTCTAAGTCGTATTGGTCACAAAGAGGATACATGTATTTTGATCAGGTATTTTGGTTGAGATGCAGTAATTTCTAAACTAAGTCGAAGGAAAGCATTGCCCATGACCTTCCAATTGAGGAAACGTGAGTTCATATGGCTGCTATTTTCTGATTGTACAGCTGGACTTACATGTAGTACAGGACACATGTTTGTTCCAAATTTAGATAAGAATAATATTTACAGTTCTAATGTGAGTGTAAATGTACCATTATTGGCTTTATTGACTGTCTAATGTAATAAAACTGTAGGCTAAAAACAAGTTTTAAGTGTAACAAAAGGGTCTGTTGTTACATTGGCAGGGAAGGTGAATACACAAGAGGTCACAACCCCGAGTGTCGAAATGGATCCTGGCAGTGAACTTGGCTCTTAATTGGGCTTAGTGACTTACTTGTGTGGATCGTAAGACAACCATGTGTGAGGACCGTGTTGGCTTTGGAAAAGGATCGTAGTGGCACGGACCGAATATGGTGTGCACAGAGATGAAAAGGCTTAATCCCGGATTGAACATGGGGCGGTCCGTGTTGGGTCCGGGACAGGCCCTATCTGATCCGGGATGGTCCGGTGTCATCCTTGTTGACACCGTGTTGGTCCGGGTCATTTCACCCAGGATCACCCCAGATCAAGATATCTCTTGATCCGGGGTGTTTCGTGTTAATCTGGGATGCTCTGTGTTGGGTCCAGCTAGTGTGCGACTTGGGCTTCAAGGTTTACAGTAGGTCTGGCTTTTGGTACACTTATACATTGTTGAGAATAACTGAGAACCAGATTAAGAATCTTTTTGTTTTTTACTTCACTAAGTTTGAAAGTACTTTTACAGCACTATGATTAGAATCGGAATCAAGAAACCTGTTTCAATCTGAAGCCTAGGGCCTAAGATATCTGTTTAACTTTTGGATCAGGTAGAAGTTGTTTGGCAGAGTAGACCAACAGATGCATGACAATAGGCAAGTTTTGTGTCGTTGGTCAAAGAGCTGTGTAAATGAATAAATTCATGTACTTGAACAGTTGTGCAGCAGAGAATGATCTTTTCCTGTCTTTTTTTGGCAACAGGAATGTGTGGTGTACTTTCAACAGATGTTATCTTATCTGGAACATATGTTGATAAACATTATAAATTGCCTTGATAGATAGTTTTCCTCACATCACAGTCAAAGGGATACTTGTAGATGGATGAAGTTTTAGATGGTACATCTCCAAGAATAAAACTGCTCCTGAATAGTCTACAGCATCTTTTGCTAAATTCCCAAAGATGCAATTTCAAGAACCTTAATTTCTTCTTGTTATTAACCTCTTCCTCTCTTCCTTCCAAATGCTCTCTCTCTGCGATCCTTTTGTAAGCAAGTTTTTTTTTTTAAAGTAGCTTATGAACCCTCTCTCTGTCCCTCCTGCTCTCTTCTCTCACTACTTCACTCCCTCTCCCTCCCTCTTTCCCTCCGTCTCTCTCTCTCTTGTTCCCATGAACATCTGTATTAGAACTAGAAACATCATGACCAATAGACTGTCATTGTTCTGTTAAACCACCTTGGTAGTGTTTTGAGTCATCTGTAACCAGTGACTGACTACTTTAGGAACCAGATCATCAATCAGTTTATAGCGGAAGTTATGCAAACAAGTTTAACTTCTTTCAGTAGCCCTGGCTGATTCAATCCTGAACCTTTATCTTTTGCGTCACAGGGAAAGATTTGAATTTCTATCTCTTTCCAGTTACAGAAGTAATTATTTCTGATATGAGTAGTTCTGCAATTAAAACTACTTTTGTTAAGTTTAGAACTGAAATGTTACAGTAAGACAATTAACATCATTCAATGGGGCAAGGGGCAATGTCTAGAAAAAAAGAGAATATTCAAGGCTGCCGATTTTTGCAGAATTTCCTTATCTACTTATCTATATATGAGAAAGTTCAATATACCGGTACATGTAGTTCTGTGGCATGAATAGTTCCACCCTGCCCCCTTCAATGAAATAGGGCTACCGGTAATTGAGTCTTGCAGTATATAGACTGAGGGAGTAGCCATCACCAGGTCCATCAGAGAGGACCTAAAATGTCGGCCGTCTGGTTCCTTACTTACAAGCATTTGTGCTTTCTTAGCAGTCGGGTAAAATAACCACCACCACCACCATACTACTGGCATACTACTGTATCATTCAAGCTGGATGGTACAGGTATTGGTTGCATTAGAGTATTAATAGGGGGTACAGTGGGAGGGGGAGGGCAAGAAACTAGGCTTTAAAGTTGGTTAACGTGTTAGCTGTAATATGAAGTGTCCACAAAGTTTAGTTTTTACCTTCATCTTATCCAATAAACCTTTGAAAAATGTAGACCAATAACCTCCTTAACCTCAAACTCAACTCTAAAAAGTACACAAGCACATTCATCACTACATGTTTTCCAGCCTTCATTGGATCCAATAATTACTCATCTATTTTCAACAACAATATGTACCTACATGTAAGGTCATTATATTCCTGACATGGATTGCATCATGGACAGATGTAGTAATATGGGTGGTTTCCTGTAAATGTTATTGCCCTTCTCTGGTTGGCAACGCTTAATTTTGGTGATGACGCTTTTCTAGATTCTGGCTACCTGTAGATGGTTTCCTGTTAGTGGTTTTGAGTATTATATAGACTGGGGGGATTCACCTAGGGCCATTATTCTACATGCAGACGACAGGACGGTACCTTGTGCCTTTTCTTTGGAGGCAATTAATTTTGAAATGCACAGTTGGATCAGTTTCTTTTGACAAGCATTTTAAGAAGAGGATCAGTAATTGTGTAAGATATGTTTTATTTGTCTTTAATATTTTTTGTTCTGTTTATTTATATATTATAAACAATATATAAACCCTTTTGATTACATATCTTTATTCCAAATATTGTTTTTGAGATGTTGCTTTCATAACAAGAAATTTAGAAAGGTGTCCTCCATGTATTTCATTTCAGAGCATGTAATGTAAATAGTGTTTTGAATTATTTGTCTCTTTTTTTTTTTACAACTGTATTTGTTTGAATTGAGATTTTTAATGTGAATGTGGGCTTTTATAAAGCTTATTGTTCAGTTTATTTTCAACTTTGACACAGTTTCATGCTATAGATAGTTGATCATGGTTACTGGAGGGGAAAAATGTGAGATGTTTTTTTTTTTGTGTACAACTTTATGTCATTATTCTTTTATTTTACAATGAGCTGTTTGACAGGATCTTGTTATGAGGGCTATCATATATCATTTTTTTATTTTTTCAAAAGTGTCTACAGTAGACTGTTATTCAACATAATTGATTACCATTTTATTTTTTGGCTGATCGATCAGCTGATTATTAAGTGAACTCTTGAAAAAACGGGACAATATTTTTGTCAACGGATCGGTGCTTTCAGCTTTTGTATTTTTTATTTACATTTTACAACTTGTTTTTATGCACAAACAAATCCAGCCCATTATTTTTTGTCCCAAAAATAGAGGGGAAAAGGGATTTTATTTTTCTTGCTTGTCAACTTTTTAGTGATGCTGGATTACCTGTGAGAAGGTGGAGATCTTCTTCCTTGTTCTGTTTCAATTTTTCTGCAACTTGCCAAACATTAATGAAATTATACTGATGGCCAAATGTTGCTTTTGTTGTGATGCCAGTGTGGTAAAACATGGCTTTAATCATGATGACCATTATGACCATTTTTTCCATTTAGATGTCTTTTATTGTTCATCTAATCCAAGAAAAAGAAGAAAAAACAGGGGGGGGGGGGCCTATTATAAATAAACATTTTAGAAACTACTTTATGTACATGTATTTACAGCATTTTTCAACCTTTCATCGCCTCATACGTGTATATCTCTGCATATTTTAATACTCTCACTCTGATGTGATGTTACTAAACTAGAGTGGCTTTATATGTTTTATCATTTCACAAATCACTGATTATCTGCCATTGATAGGTCCTCTGCAACACAGTCAGACAGATAATACCATGAGGGTTATGATGGTCATATCTAAACCTAGACCTTCCTGCCAATTTGGTTTAGATTTGAATAGGTGATTGTAACCAATGACTGTTTAAACCCTGTGTTTTATTCTGTATTTTCTTATTTGCACATATAGTCAAAAGGTCAGTGCTGTTAGATTTTTAACTCTTCTTATTCAACATATAATTGTCATCCTGACCCTCATTAGTACATATAACTCGTAACCCATTTTGTAAAGGCCCTGCAGGGAGTTGGATTTTCTGTCATTAACTTTTGTACATGTACTTGTATATGTTATTGTAATCACAGGAGCAATTTTAAGAGTCAAATCCCTGTCCGTTTGGTCTGTTTCTTTTTGTATTATGCAAATAGAGTTGTACAATAAAACTTAATGGCCAAAGCAGGTGTGAAATGAATTGAATACTGCTCTTGATAAAATGTCCTCCTTTTTGACAGTTTTCCAGTTTGCTGTGCAGTGGGTTAAAAATAGATGTGCCCCTTATATTTACTCTCTCTCTCTCTCTCTCTCTTTCTCTCTCTCTCTCTCACACACTCTCTCTCTCTCTCTCTCTCTCTCTCTCTCTCTTTGCAGATCTAGAGCTAATTTGGTACATGAGAGTTACAACCTTATTTAGGCAGTAAGGAGAATAACCAACAGCCAAGATGTCACAGAATGGCCGTCCCGCTACATCAAAGGTAATGTTCATTTTTAATTCTTTCAGTCGACTGAAAAATAAAAAAGATTCTGAATGAAAAACTGACATTTAAAACTCTTTTGATTGTATGAATTGAGTGTTTTAAAATCGACCAAAGAAAAAGAAGAAAACAATATAAGTGGAGTTCATATGAAAATGAAAACAATAGACATGTCATGTTCAGTGTGATGCGAGAAATAATAATTTTGCATACTTTTAAGTCTTGACTAAAAGGAACTGTTCAACAAACCTTTCTGTTTCATACCAATACACAATTCTTTTGTCTGCTATCAATCTGTGTTTTGTGATAAAGTACATTTAGGGCCATTTGTCTGCTTATCTATAACGTATTATTGTTTCCACTTTTCTTGTAATGATTTTAGGAGAAGAGTGATGCAAGTCTTAATCTTCAGGTTGAGGAGCTGTTAAAGCCGCCTGAAAAGCTCCCTCTAACAAGCAGTCCCTTGGATGGGGAGCCAGAGACTCACTTCCCTCAGTTCGGAGAGAAGGATTATGAAAGTAAGAATCTGCTTATTATTTTTTACTCTTTGTACATTTTTTATTTGTGTGTTTGTGATTGATATACATTGTGACTTATGATAATTTGTTTGATGACATGTGGCTAAGTTTATTTATACTCCTGGGGTTTGTAAGTGAAATGGAAATCACTTTTCACAATTGTGAAAAGGGCAAGCAAGCCACAGCATGATTTGGAAATATCACCCCCAAAAACATAGAACAATTATCAACTTTTGAAAGTGAAGAAATAAAGAGTTTTGCGAAATATGATAAACATGTATGTGACATAAACATGGTAGCTTTCATATTGAATAATTTATTCCAAGAAAATATGCAAAAGTATTCCAAGGACTTTTTGAATCCGATTTTAAACAATCTAAGTAATATCTTAGAAATCGGTATTTGAAAATCGTTAAAAGTGTAGGTTTTACTATTACTGTCATCGTAAATACAATAATTGTACATTATCGTGTATGAAGTCCATTTTCTGTTTATCATGTAACACATAGAATGCTATTTATGCCTGGAATAATTGGGTCCAATGGGTTTAAGTACCTGAACATGTAGTCATGCAGACTTCAATTTATTTGCAGTCTGTCAGTGGTACTGGTAGGTACTCTATACTGCAGTAATGACTGAACAAATATTTGATAAACACTTTTGCATTGCATATTGCGTCCATAAGCAGAAAATTATGTTTAGAACTTGGAACTGTACTAATGATGGTTTGTGAACAGATTTATTATGAGTCTGGAGATGGTGTTGGTTTAAAAAAAAAAAAAAAAAAAAAAGTTTTTTGATGGTCTCATTGGTACCGGTGCATGTATTGTGACTGTGAATGTAGTTTTGGATGCAATAGTTGTGATGGGCCTTTCTAGTGTTACACATACATTTTTGTAGTAAGAGTTTAGTAATGGCAGTAGTGTTATAATACTTTCACAAAATATGCCATCTTGAATACATAGTTTTATATCTTACAGTTTACATACCTATATTATTTACAAGCCTACATGTATATTCACAAGATATACAGCTTCAAATTGGATGGGTAGTTTTATAGCTTGATGTTAAGAGGAAAATTCAGACAGTTTTCTTTCACTCCTTGACTTGTTTACCACTGTTTTTGTCAAAATACTAAGCGTTAATTTGTTAGGGGCACCTAGCGGTCTTACAGTGTATGTACCTTATTTTCAAGATTTTCATTGATAACTTGAATAGAGCAGTGCTAAATAATAACAAATTGTTTGGCTGTCTGCAAGAAGGTTTTAAGCTTTGTATTGTCAATGGCAGTCACAGAATTTTACAGGCAGTCAGCGTGATCTCTCTCACATTCCATACATGTCATTGAGGACCCCTTTAAATCTCAGGATAATCTGTGAGCCACCTTAAAGGCTATCCTTATCAGGTAACCTTCAGATAACCATGAGCTCATTTGGAAACATTATTGAATTAAACCTTGGTTACAGTGTCACCTTACAAGTGTGTTATCAATGTCAAATCAACATGAACATGTACCTCTGTAGATATCATTAATGTAGTTATACATATGTACATGTACATGTAGGTATGTGAAGTGCATTTGAAAATTGTCCCTATGGATATACAGACAAATTCTGTCTGGTGTAAGTTTTAAGATGCAAGAATTGATAAGTTTCACTAACAGGCATCGGACAGTTACTGAAATGATTATGTAGATTACATATTTGCACAACAAATCTTTCCTCTACCCTCTTCCTATACTAATGGAATATCTCCTTGTCCAAATATGGAACACGTAAATTGAACGCTGTTTTTCTTCCTCCACCCCCTCTCTACCCTTCCCTTTACCCCTATCTCCACTCCCTCTCTCCACTCCCTCTCTACCTCTACTCTCCTCCACCCCTCTCTACCTCTCCTTCCAACCCCTTTCTACCTCTCTTGCAAACCCCTTTGTACCATCCCTCTCCCCCTCTCTTCTCTCCCCTCTCTCTACCTTTCCTTTATAAACCCTGTTGTACCCACACCCTCCCTCATCACTTCTTTACCCCTCCCTCCCTCATCACTTCTTTACCCCTCCCTCCCTCATCACTTCTACACCCCTCCTCCTCCTTCCCTCCTCTCCTCGCAGGCCATCGAAGCGAAGATGTCCTAGTCCACCACCAGCTGGATCCATTACCACAGAGAGGTTCTTCCAAGAGTTTGAAAGATCATGATGCACAGCACCAAAAGATACGCACCAGCCACTCCAGCAAGAGCATCGCCGAGGCAACGGAGGAACTCATCACCAGTATTGCTGAAGAAACTATTGGAGATAGTGTGGATGGGGGAGAAAAGAGTACACCGAAGGTGAGAATTTTCTTCCTGTTATTTAAAAAAAACTTTTTCTGCCATTGCAGTCTTCATCTCATTTTGTGCAGTGATTTTAAAGTGTCACCTATTATTTGACAGTACTTAGTAAACCCATAATACAGAACTTGCTACACGCACTAGAATTACTTGGTTTCTAAGTCTTGAGCTTAAGCATCCCATGACAGGCTGCTTATTGTAAAGACGTAGAGCCATCACCATGGAGGTAAATATGACATAAAAATCTACATGATTTTAACCATATGGGACCAAGGACAATATTACTGCAAGTAATTTCAATCTTTGAAGTGATAAATATTAGGCTGTAATATACATATAAAGAGATTTTCACTGAAAGTTCACAATTTTACAGGTTTGTAGTGATGACTAAAATAAATTTCACTATTTATCTTAACCTCTATGGTCAGCAGCGATTATTAATATATTTGGAAATAAAAGATTAACCCAAGGCTAATTATTACGTGATGAAATATCAATTTTTCAATGCCATTTCAATTTCATGGAATCAACCTTTTTGGATTATGATTATGCAGAATTCTTTGAATTCAGGATTAAAAAAGGATTCTAAAAGATTAAGAATCCTCAAACAGAATGGTTTAGTCAGCACGGTCAAAAAGTCTTTCAAATAACCTGCTTACAAAATGACCATGATATGATTTTGGTTGTGGTTGAATTTTACTTGAATAAAAGCAGAAAAACAAACAAACAAAAATGCATGTATATCACCTCAGAAAACAACAAAATTGTAATCCAATTATCAAGGATCAGATGTTTTTGCAACCTGAAAATGAAATTGTAGGCCTTGAGCCAACAGGGATGAAACAGCTTGGCACAGTGAAATATTGCTATAAAGCTGTCACTCATGCAACCTAAAAGCAATTCATGTCAACACTTGTAATTTGCTACCGGTACTTACAATGTTTTCCTAACATCCACTCTCCCGGGCATTATCTTAAACTGATTATTAGGTAGATGACATCACATACTAATACAGAGAAGACTGATGTACCGGTAATGCTTTCAGAGCAAGAAGTTGCTCCTCTTTCTTAAATCGACAACTTCCTTCCTAGAGGAGGGTAGAGGGAGAAGAAATTTGAGAAAATTAGGCAACTTCTCGTCTTTCTTGTAAGGATGACTTAGGTTTGGAAAAAAAAGCTATAAATTTGTCAACCTCTACATCTTTTTTTCCATGATCAGCATATTGAATGATAGTTATATTTTCCCTGTCAAGTGTAGCTTACTTTTAAAATTTCATGTTTTTTTTCTCCAATATGTCAAACTGTTCTATGTATTCATGGTGAAGATCCTATTTATTGCATGAACCTTTTTTTTTGTGGTTTTCATGAAATAAGATGACATTTCGACCAAACAAAACTGCTTTGTAACCTCTCGCGCAACATACATGAACATTTTCCATCCAATCAGTTTAAAAGAGGACCTGTGTTCCTTATCAAGAGAAAGAACCGTTTCGTATTACGGGTATGAGGAACGGCACTGCATGGAGATGTTAGAAAGCATGAAACGATTTCTATGAATGATTTTTGAAATTCAGCAAAAATTTGTCTTTTGTCAAAGGACAGGCCATGTGTTTCTTTATAAGACTGGGAAGCAATTGTCAATAGTACTGCATGAAAATAGCTCTCTCTTTGTTGTCACATTGAATAGTATGCATTTTGAAATTCAGCAACTTTAGTGTCTCTTTTGATCTCGTACCACCGAATGAAAGATATTCAAAAGCAAGATGGAAATCTTCATTTTCCCCATTTTCAATACAATTTGAAACTTCAGCAATTTTCTTTTTTTTTTACTTGTCAAGAAGGGTGGGATAGCTCGGGGCAGGATGATGTTTGATAAACGGTTGTTCTTTGTTCAACTCAATACTGACACATTTGCACAAAGGTTCTCAAGTTCTATTTAGTCTTTTGTAGGTCATGAACAAATGTGGAAGGTCACTTTGTTGTTGACAATTATGTAGATGAATGAACTTTTTTTTCCTAATTGAGATGCAATAAATTTTTGCAGTATATGCAATTTTCATAGAAATTTATGTATCATCTTAGGCAAGGTGCATGTTTAGAAAAACAGTTACTAAAAATACCCACAATGGTTATCCAAGGACTTAAAATGAGGATTAGATGAAAAAGCTCTCATGTCACCAAAATAATATTTGATAATGAACATGACATTTATTGGATAATTGAGTGATATCAATTAATGTCATTTACTTCAGATTTAAAGATATTGAGACATTTATTTGTTGGTGCACCAAATAATTGAAAATGAGAATTGACAACTAACCAGTTTTAAACAAAATTGAGTTGCCTGTTGTTGCATTAAACCATCCAACGTGTATGGATGGGACTGGAATGTGCATGTCATCAGGGTCCACAAACTAAAAAGGAACGGATTTTAATATTAAATACCTGAACCGTTATATTGTCTTTTTTCCCCAATAATCTCTTTCTGAATGTCTATATTTTTGTGCATGTGCATGTGCTTTTTTCTGAAGAAGAAAAGAATCCCCTTCATTCATATCACATCTCTTGACCTCCATTCTGCCATTATTTGTTCTTTAATTTTGTGCATTTACCAAGAACAGAAATTGTGTAGTTAATACCTAGGTGCCTACAGTTATTTCTACCTGTGTAGTTTAAAAGTCATGAAAAGAGAAGAAAGGGGAAAAAATGCATGGTTAGTATTCATAGAATGCAGGGCTACATGTGTGAATATGCTTGTGTACAAAAAAAGCATATGAAAATTGCTTTTCATTCTGGTATGGAGAGGATTGAATTTCAAAGTTTATTATGTAGGATGAGATCAGCAGGAAATGTTATTTTCCTGTGGTGTCTTATAAGAGTTCGGCATCATTTACCTTTCATGCATTACTCATTCTCCTGAGCCCCTGATTGCATTTTTTAAAAACCAAATTTTTTCAGCATGAAGATTGTACTTACTTGGACATGTACAGTGTCCAGCTTATGAGGAAATTGTATTAGACTGCAAATGTCAACAATTTATCCTGCTGTTATATCACCCCCCCCCCCTCTCTCCTTAGATGGACAAACAAAGGGTAACAAAGAAAGAGAAGATAGGGAGAGACAGAAAGAGAGAGAGAGAAAGAGAAAGGAAAGGTTAAAGAAAATTATAGGAAACTTCACATTTTATCCACCTAGTGAGACCCGTGTGCATTTCCCCATTTGCTGGGCCATTGCTTCTTTACTACCCCCAATTACTTGTAATTTGTCTGGTACAAATCTTCATCTGGGATAAGCCCCAGATAGTGTTTTATCTGTGGTTCATTCTTATTGAAACCATCCTGTCTATTTCTGGTCTCTTAATGGACATTTTTTCAATGTTTGTACCCTAATGCCTTTGTATCCATGGCTACTTCTTGCTGTTCCTCCATCTTGTTCCCTCTCCATTTTTACTATCTAAACCCGATTTGTTCTAAAAAATTCCTTACATCTCTTCACTTTTAAGAATAAAAATGTATTTCAATTTCATAATTTTTTTTCTTCTCTTGTTCAGTTCATCATTGGAGAAGACGATGGGGCTGAGACACCAGTCCGATCTGAAAGTCAGTCAGATGAGAAGGGGCTTCATGCAGAGGCAAACTCAAAGTTCAATGAGAAGTAAGTCATACAGAAAGAGAGCAAGGGATAGATGGAGAGGGAAGGAGAAAGGGAGAGAGAGAGGGAGGGAGAAAAGGAGGGAGGGAGAGAAGCAGAGAGATGGAGAGGAAGAGATAGAGAGAAGTTAAATGTACAGGTATTAGTGTCAAAAGCTTTTTCATTTTTCCTTAGGTGTTTTATACACACATGCATTTAGAAAGCAAAATGACCAAAGTATGATGTGGTAACCGAATACAATGTAGTCATATTGAAATTTAAGCGTATATACATTTTAGCTTACAACAAAATAATCTGAGTTTAAGAGCGTAAAATGGCATATTGTATGAGTTTCTTACATGTCAAATGATCCATATCATTTTTCAGGCCTGGATCTCACAAGCACCATCGTCACCATCACCACGGCAAGAAGCAGCGCAATCTGTCCGATGACCCCAACGAACGTCTACGACAGGGTAGCGATGTCAATCTCAAGATGCACGACATCTCCATCAAGATCGGCGGGGATGATGATGAGGAGGAAGGAGAGATGAATCCATCCATTAGGGAGACCATGGCTGGTAAGAATCATCTCATCCTTGCCGTCCATCTGTCAAAACTAACCAATGGATTGATACACAATGCCCCACCCCCACCCCCCCCCCCACCCCACCCCCACCCCCTATCCCAACCATTTAACCGCCAACTTTCAATCTAGCAGGGGCCCATGATAACAGATGCTTAACCTGTCGATCCAGACCTCCTCTAAGCAAAGTTAGTGTCGAACCCTGAGATACGCTAAGGTTTCCAACTTACTAAGGCATTTCATTTTAGAAAATGGTTATGTGGTTATATGTGTGTACACCTTTGTCAATCCTGAGCTTTTGATGTGAGAGATAACATGCAAGACTGGATTTTTAGTATGAATGCGAGTGGCACAATAAATGGGGATTGCAATCTTGAGAAATTTCAGCCATCTGAGACTCAATCAGATAGGTCTGAGAAACTTTTTATGCCTTATTACTTTCGCTGATAACCTATCACCTACCAGTGTTGCTTCGGAATGTGAGCCGTGTTTAATACTCAAGCATGTCTCCTCTTTCTTCCTGCTAGTCCATCGTCTTGGTGATATGTCAGGTGGAGGACGCCACCACCATTCTTCTCGCAAGCACAACGTGAGCTCCTTTGTCCATGTGCGCGGGAGAACACCCTCAGGGGAGAAGAACACATCACCGCGAAAGAAGAAGGAATACGATCATCGGCCCCACGAGGTAGGAAGATATCTGAGAAATACAATCTGAAGTTTGTAGTTTTTAATCCTGGCTCAGTGCTAATGCTGTCAGGACAAGGCATTTTAATTTTAACTGTTCTGTACTCTGGTGTAGCATGGGAGTTGTAAGAATATGGTACTTTAATATGCAGTCAGATCAGACATTTTATCTACAACTCTTTCTGTTTACCCTTTTGTGTAACAAGTTGATTGTAGGATTAATGTATTTACATGTATGCTATGAAAGAGACAAAGCATTTTATCTCCACAAGTTTCTCTTTACCCAGGTGTAGAGCGAGTGAATTGTAGGATAGTAAGGTTGTTTGTGATGTCATGACAGCTAAGATGAAGCCAAAGTAAATGTACTTACAGATTCGGATAGATGTTTGTTGGCACAAGATATATCCTTCCTATTGAGTGTTTTGATGTCGGCTCTTTACTTCTTTCAATGTGAATCCCATGACATTTACAAGTCGATCGCCTGTCTGATTATCAAGATATTTATGATTGGAAATCAAAATCAAATTTTGCGTTTTCCTAACGGTTTTCATAACACTACAGTCTCCTGGGGAAAAACGAGTATGGTAAACCGGAACTTTGTGGAACTTCATGATCATTTTGAAGCGCTATTTTTTTAGGGCTTCAATATTACACCATATCACAAACACTGATAGCATGTAGGGCCATGCATCTCAGAATTAACATTGTTCTCTTTGGTACCAGGTCTTTGTGGAGTTGGATGAGTTGTACAAGGAGGAGGGCCATGAGATGCAATGGAAAGAGAAAGCTCGCTGGATCAAGTATGAGGAAGACGTTGAAGAAGGGGCGCAGCGCTGGGGTAAACCTCACGTCGCTTCCCTCTCCTTCCACAGTCTGGTGGAGCTTAGACAGTACCTAGAACATGGTGAGTTGAAGTAGTGCTACTGAACCTGCTTGTCCTGGGCAACCTTAACATGTCTCTGGGCTAGTGTATTCAACTTTTACATTGACTTGTGACAATTGGGTAGCCTAGGGAATTTGAATTAAACAGCAAGTTGCAAAATTGTGATAGTCAACTCATAAGGGAATTTATAACCCTCACTGATTTCTGACATCTTGATTTTTTTTTATGGTTATGGTTTTATGAACCCACTTCCCTTTGGGCAACCCAAATTCCTAATGATGCAGGGGAATTAAGAAGCAAACCGTGGCATTAGAATTGCATGTATTTGTGGTGTCTATTTTGACGAATGTCCTTTGACCCACTCTTGTGTCACCTCACAAAATATTAGTTAATCTCCTTTACCCCCTTTTCTCTGTCTTTGAACTTTTGTCTGTTACTGCCTTAGTCATGTTGGTCATGAATTTTGTTATATACATGTATATTATACTGTGTGCAAATAGCATTATGTTCTTATCTAAGTTGATTTGTTTTTCAAATCACATTTGTATGTACATAATTCAGCCATTTGGTTGCGAAGTGCAATCATAATAAAAACCTTTTCAATCAATCAATATAGGAACTGGTTATGAGATCAAATCTGACTGAATCCTCTTATGTTTCATTACAGCCACCGCTTTGTTTGATTTGGAGGAGACCAACCTCTCCAATATCTTCCACCGTATCGTTGACAGCATGATCAATGCCGATCAGATCAAAGAAGAGAACCGAGCGGACATTATGAGGGCGCTATTGCTCAAACATAAGTAAGTCAGGACCCTGGATATCAATAACAAGTTACAAGCTACTGTTATAAGCTACTGAAATCAAGGCTTCTGATTGGCTGAGAGCAAATTTGTCATAGAAATTCAGCATTTGTTATCAATAAAAAGTTTTTTGAAACGGGCCCCGGGTCTATGAATCATCATCATTTGGTTGCTACGGGTGACAGTTTATGGTTTGATGGGTTTTGAAGGATTGGGAAACCCAAATTATGACCCATTTTCATCCTAATGTAATACACTTATCTTTTACATCAATACTATACCCCAAATAATTACAAGTACGTGTTACTCTTCCTATCCATTGGTATTATTGGAATCCTTCATTGGTATATATTATTCTGTTAAGACAAACTTTAAACCACCAGAAATGTTATAATGGATCAGTAAGTCGTTCAAATAATGCAGGTATAAACATTACATTCTCTTTGGCATATCTCTCACTCTGCTTGTGCCAAAATGACTGTGACGTGTGAGCTTGTGACATGCGAGCACTTTCCCCAAAAAATGTGCCGCTATGGTGTATATGTCGTCAAAATTGAAGTGCAGTTATGTTTTGTGCTTTAAATCCATTGAAATTGATCCACGCACTGCTTCATTAAAGGCCTATGAATTTTGATTAAAATGTAAAAATTATGTTTTTATGTTGCGTGTGAAACAAAAAATTCACCTTTTACTACATACATTGCATCTGGAGTGTGTATTTCATGCATGGTGTTTTCGTTTTCTTTAAATGTTAGAGACGTTTTATTCGTTAAAAGAAAAATTGAAAGAAAAAAGTGTTGATTATAATGAAGTTTTATCCTTATGTTGAGGATATGCATGCTTTTTACATTTTATCTTTATTTTTGATGTGATTTGATATTATATTGTGGTTTTGCTATCTACATGTGTTTTATATCATGAAGGTAATTTACTGGAATTTAATCCTTTAATTGGGTTGTGATAGAATAATAAAATTAAAAACAAATTTATTCCAAACATTAGATTGATGAAACAAGAATCACTGAATCGCAAATGAGTACATGAATTGTCCTTTAGGGCTGACATAAAATATGACCCCTAACCATATTCTTTTCACTTACAAACAGCTTCAAAAAGTTTCCAATGAATTATATTATTACCAAAAAGCTTAGGTTATTCCCTGTATCATTTTTTTTCATCACGCTATATGCCCAGGCATCTCATGAATTTACCATAAAACAAAGAGCTTAATGAAAGCATCTTCACTATAAAAGCATTTTAATAATATGAATATATATTCATGTTATATCCTCCATAAAAAACATAAATTCATTATACAATTATTTTTCCTCATAAAAAGAGATTAATGAAAAAAAAATTAAAAACTATCATCCTAGGCACCATGATAAAAGCTTCCATCACGATAGCAAAAATCTGCAAAGGGAATATTCAAATATATCATATATTGAGAACTAGACGGCCGTTTAGCTGAATGCATATACAAAGATAGAACTGAACGTCATTTCGGACTCTCAGTAGATATGTATAGATTTTTATATATTTATATATATATATATACCAATCTATACGTTATATCTCACTGCCAAATACAATGTACGGTACATGTATCACTAAGCATCATCATCATCACCATCATACCTCCATTATAAATCTAGGCACGTGAACGATGGCGGCAACAGTATTCTTCGAAACTTCTCCACCATTTCCCTGGGTTCCATGGATGACAAGAAGGGTGAAAGGTATTCTTAAGATAAACATCTCATCCTCCTTTTATCATATGTATCTTCTTTCCTGGTTTGTGTTTGCCTGTTTTGTTTTCTTTTGTTTTGTGTTTTTTTAATAACTAATTTATTGTCATGTATTCTGCTCTGGGGGGGAGATACTTTTTATACAACTTCCCTTCCTCTCTAACATTTGAGATTGATACTGCTGATACCCCTCAAATAAATCATAACAAATAATTATGATGAATTGAAAAGATAAAATGAATCTGAATAAGTTTAGAACAGAGTGAGTGTTTTCTGTGCTATAATATGGAAAGGATGTGTTGAGAATGGTCCAGGTTTAAAAAGAAAACTTTTATAGAAACAAAAGAGTATTGATAATGAATATAAAATTATTGTGTTAAACAAAAAAAGAGAACAAAAATAAGAGAACTTTGACTGTCCATGGGGAACAGTGTCACTCTGTTTTGATGTATTTGGATGATTACTGTGAATCCCAAATCATTTTGTAAATATAAACAACAACAAAAGAGCACATAGTAATGTAGTGTCGTCTGAGGTATTTGTATAAATCAGATGGGACTCTTCTCCAGAGCAGATCACTAATTTGTATTCATCGTTTGCTTCTGATATTCAATATTAACAATAACCATACATGTATCTTGAATTTCATGCTATGAATGCATTTATTTAATTTGAAGAGTTACTAAAGAAAGAAACATGATGTTGAACGAAGACGTGCTGAAGATTTGTTGTCATGCACATTCAGGTAAAATCTTCAAGCCAAAGACAGAATATACCAGTCACTAAATGAGCACTGAGGATGTTATATAACCACATCTCACTGTTCAGGTTGTTGCTGAAACTCTTTTACACCCAAAAGGTTGTACATTTGCAGTGACTTGTACTGGTTAATGACTAGCTAGAGCTTAGCAATAAAAAAAAAGCTTCAGTATGTCTCTCCCCCTTTCTCTCTTTGTTTCATTCCATTATCTTCACGATGTACATATAACTGTGTATGAAAATGCAAGCTTGATGCACCTATCACAAATTCATGTACACTGTATGTATTATTTATCAGGAAAAACATTTGGTGTTTATTCTTATCCTCATATCTAGTGAATGAATAAAATTGGAATTTATCTTTAACTGTCACTGATAATAACAATGATTTTAATCATGATATGCCCATGTCAATTCAACTAACTTGTAACTCATTCTCTTTTTCATTATTACAGCCATTAATTAAAAAAAAATGAACATTAGGCATCAATTGTTATTGTGTAATTAGTTGGCAATCAGTCTAATTTACCCCAAGATTGTATTTCAACTGTAGGAACAAGGATTGATAGAGAGATAAAGCTTTTCTCTAAACTTGCTTCCCGTTATACAAGCAACTTCACTGAAGATCTGGCATCAGCTCTTCAGTCTTTCTCTCCTAAAATTGGATAATAATTATTCACATATAAGTAGAACATGATTCATTGAATATCAAAATGATTAAAACCCATGAATGATCCAAATTACAGTTCATTATTCATATATGCCCTATCATCATCAATGTGATAGCAACCATCATTATTTTGCCTCTTATATGTGTCACTATATAAAATCCTTGTTTTCTCCTTGGCCGATTAGTAAGGTTTTAATAGAATGCTGTATTTAATACATATACATGTATTAAATATATGGGCAACGTGAATATCATAAGGGAGAAATGTGTCTGTACATAGACTGGAGTATGTTCTTATGACTATAATATTGTTTTACCACTCACAGACACAATGAGAAACATCATCACCACCCCTCTGGCATCTTGAAGAACCTGTCATCGATCAGTCTGACAGGACACGGTCAGACAAAGGTAATGAAAGCTATATTTGATAACTGAAATCTTTGTTCAAACTTAAAGAAATGAATACTGCGCTTGCAACAGCGTAAACGAAAAAATATATAAGAAAACATATCTTTATTGAGGATTTGGAAAGGTATATCAAGATAGTAAGGATTAGATTTGGTGATCAAAATTCAGATGAAAAAGGGTATTTCATTTAACATTTCATGAAAGTAACAAGAATATTGAAAATGTACAGAGGGATCCAACTTTACAAGATTCAGGTATGAAAAGTCAGTTCAGTAGTCTGTGTTGTCAAATATTTGATCAACATGAATGCTATTAGGCAAAATCATGTTGGTGACATTTCATGTTCGAAGAATTTTTTTAAAGAATGTTGAATTTTTGTGTCATGTCCTAAACCTGTGACTGATTTTATCCTACCTCCGATTTAGCCTGAAGCTGAGGTACGCATTCCGATGATCAACAAAGACGGCAAAGCCAACACCAACGGCTTGTCCAACGAGAACCAGAATGCATCGTCTGGTGCCTTCAAGACCACACCCTCTTCAACATCTCTGATGAAACTTGCCCATAAGCTGGACCACAAGAAGATCGAAGGCATCATGCGCAAGATCCCCCAGGATGCTGAAGCAACCTCTGCCCTGGTGGGCGAGGTGGACTTCCTGGAGACCCCGGCCGTCTCCTTCGTGCGCCTTGCAGAAGGAACCATCCTGGATAATTTCTCTGAGGTGCCCATCCCTGTCAGGTTCCTCTTTGTGATGCTGGTGCCGACCCATTCGGACATCAACTACCATGAACTTGGAAGATCTTTCTCTACCCTGATGTCCAATGATGTGAGTCCATTTTTTGCTTTGGTTATGAGTGTACAAAACTTGTATTGTTTCGGTTACAAGTTAGTTGATGTAGTCTTCCAGCCCTTTCTTCTCTTGATGAATACTGAGTAATATCATCTGAAAGGATTGTTACTGTTACAGTATTAGTGCTGGAGATAGTCGAAGATGATACAGTTATTAAGGGAACTGTATAGAGATGAGGATAAGAGAAGAACATGCATGCGCATGTGTATGTATGACAGGGTTCGTACGGGTCATGGAAAACCTGGAAAGTCATGGAATTTTACTTTATTGCTTTTAAGGCCTTGAAAGTCATGGAAAATTATTTTTTCCATTGGAAAGTCATGGAAAGTCATGGAATATCAAAATTATGGACAACTATAGTATTTTCTCACTATACAAGTGAATAAATGGAGATATTTCAACCATTTTCTTCTCGTATTTTCTTTCATTCGTAACATACCGACTGATTGTACTTGTGAATGTGTTCACTATGATCGATGGATAAGCGCTGTGTACGTGGGTGTGTACGTGTACGATACGAACTACGTGTGTATGGTCAGTGTATGGCGGTACGGTCCACATCGTGCGCACATGGCTAGCTTGCGAGCGAGCTCGCTAGCGCTAGCTCAGTTCAGCAAGCTAGCGCACGTGTACGTGTGCAGTGTGTGTGTGCATATGATGATGGTGCCAACGCGACATGTGACACTCCAAGAACGAATGTAATGCCTCGATTGCACTTTGGCTTTGCATTAAATTGCGACCACTTAGACTACTACAATTTTTACACTTCTCCAATAAATGAGGAAAAAGTAAATTAGTAATATTTGTTTTTTAATTTTCATTATTTAAATAAAAAAGGAACAATACTGACGTGTCAACAAGGCAAATTGGCAGCGCTAGCTCGTTGACGATCTATATATCGACGCGACGGCATGTGTTTTGAAACTTTTGTGCATGTGTTGATTCTTCATGAAACGGAGTTGTTTATTTTCACAGACCTTGGAACTCGTCACGTGGATATTTTCACCATTACAAATTTTGTGGAAGTGATATTCAAAATGCCTGGAAATTGTCATTTTAAGGATGCTTGGTTAGAACACCCGGATTACCGTGGCTGGATTTTGAAAGAAAGTTCCGATCTGGGGACTGCTAGATGTGCTGTTTGTATGTGTAAATTCAGTGTCCGTAATATGGGCGAAGCAGCCGTCAAGAGCCACAAGAAGAGTGAAAAACACACAGCAAACCTCCAACAGCAACAACGTCGTAAGTGAGCATTTTTAATGTGAATTTTACCGATCCTTTATTGAGCATGAATCCAAATAATGACTGATAATAATTATATAAAAATGAAAGATTTGAGATTATTTAGCGATGCGATGTCACCTCGCAGGCATTGGTTACTGCTTACTGCGACCAGCCCGTTCGGGAGCGTCCCCGGCCCCGGGCCGGGCCGGCTAGGTTACTGCATGCAACAGCCCGAACGCTAACCCAGGGGGCTCCGCACTCACACGCCAGTGTTGTACCGGGCACTGTATGTGGACTGCAGAAAAAAAAAATAATAATAATTTACCTTAAAATTGACCCCAAAAATCATAAAACTAAATTTTGTACTTACAATTGGGTCCAACAGTTTGCTTGCCTTGAGAAGTATTTCCTCCTTTCTATTTCTTTAAAATATGTTTTTAAGGAATGAGTCAAAAATTAGTCCACTTGTCTTAGTGACTTACATCAATTGGCCAAAAGTTGCCGTGAATTTTTTTTTTTTTTCCTTCCCCATACTGTCAAACGGTTGTCAAAATAGGAAAACGTTTATGCTTTTAATGGTCGTTTGAACGGCAGTTAAACGTTTTGACTCGGCCCTAAATCTTACCAAATGATGATATTTATATTTTATTTATTTTAATAGACATTTTTTTCTTTTCTCCTAGATTCTACTCTCTCACTCAAGAGCTTCTTCAAGGCAAAAGGTGCAGAAAGTTCATCAGTATCTATCACGTCTACAGATGCAACAACCAGTACTTGTGCGCCATCAACCTCTAAAGTGACAACTCCCATTCCTGTTGCTGCAAGAGAGGAAACTTTAAAAGCTGAAATACTCTGGTGTCTGAAAGTGGTGGAGGATCATTTATCATTTCATTCTTGCCAGCACAACAGTGAGCTCTTTCAAAGAATGTTTCCGGACTCAGCTATTGCTAAGGGTTTCACGTTGTCAGAAACAAAATGTCGGTATATGACGGTGTTTGGTTTGGGCCCATATGTGCAAGACCTCCTTTATGACAACATAAAACAATCAAACCACTATGTGATACTGTTTGATGAAAGCCTCAACAAGAAGCTCCAGAAAAAGCAGATGGACTTCCTCATAAGAACATGGCAACACAATGAAGTTTGCACTCGCTACTTGACGTCTGTGTTCATCGGACATGGTTCAGCTGTTCACCTCAAGGAAGAACTGAATAAAGTTCTGCACACAGTTGGCTTGGAAAAATTACTGCAAATATCAATGGATGGTCCCAACGTTAATTGGAAGATGTATGATGACTTTACGCGAGAGTACACTGCTGACCTGACCAAATCCATACTGAATATAGGCTCATGCGGGCTCCATATAGTTAATGGTGCTTTTCTGACAGGTGCCAAGGCTGCTGACTGGGAGGTGGAAAGCTTTCTATCATCCTTGTATTACCTGTTTTCTGATTCCCCTGCCAGAAGAGAGGATTATCAGAAGATAACTGGAGATCATACCATGCCACTTAAGTTTTGCAAGACCCGATGGCTGGAAAACCTTCCTGTTGCAGAGAGAGCAATCAGCATCTGGGAGAGTGTATGTGCGTATGTTAAAGCAGTAGAAGAGAAGAAAATCCCTCACCCAAAGAACAAGTCCTTTGAAACTGTTTCAAAATGTACTCATATAACTGATTTCTTAGCAAGACTGTACTTCTTCATATCTGTTGCAAAGCTGGTCAATCCTTTCCTAACAGACTATCAGACTGATGCACCAATGCTGCCCTTTTTAGCTGAAGACCTTACTAGAATGCTTGCATCCCTTATGCAGCGATTTTTAAAGCTGGACAGGAGTACCATTACTTCTCCTTACAAGATAATGCAGGTAGATGTTAGCAGTGAGGCCATTCAGCTGCCCTTGGCCAAGTTGGACATTGGATTCTACACTGAGAAGAAGCTGAAAGATCTGAAGGCGAAAAATATCATCAGTGAGCTGAAAGTTCTGGAATTTCGCACTCAAGCAAAGAAGTTTCTTGCTGCAATGACCCGGAAGCTCATTGAGCGATGTCCGCTTAAGTATGCACTTGTGAGAAATATAGGATGCTTGAGTCCAAAGAACATGGCAAAAGACAAAGAAAACTCCACTGCAAAGCTGAAGAGGGTGCTTAACACCCTTAGTGATGCCCACAGACTTAAGGATTCATGTGACGATATCCTAAGAGAATACTCAGAAGCATGTGATGAGGCATCAAGAAGTGCAGAGATGAGAGACTTTGATCCAAAGAAAGAGAGATTGGACTCTGTAATGTGCAAATTTCTGTCCGAGTCTCGCTATTCGACCCTCTTAAAGTTGGTCCGCATGTTGCTTGTCTTGTCCCATGGACAAGCCTCCATTGAGAGAGGTTTCTCAATCAACAACGAAGTTGAAGAGGACAATCTCCTGGGACACTCACTGATATCATTGAGGGCCATTTATGACCATATCAAGTATGTTGGAGGAATCAAGAATGTGACTATTGACAAATCAATCATGTTGGCTGCGTCTGCAGGCAGGCAGAAATACCACATCTATCTCGATGAACAGAGGCGTAAAAAGGAAAAGGAAAAGAAAGAAGGAAAGAGAAAAGGACTGATGGATGGTTTGGAAGAACTAAAGGCCAAACAAATGAGACTGCAAGCAGATGTGAAAAGTCTTCACACCTCAGCAGACAAGTATGCTGAGGAAGCAGAGTCACAAGGAAGATTGACTTGTATTTCCAAATCAAACAGCCTCCGACGTACAGCAAAGGAGAAGGCATCCCAGTTACAAGTAATTCAGAAACAGATTGATGAACAGCTGAATGCCATTAAGAATTATTAAAGAACTTGGACAGTTTGTTACCAATGCCACCAAATATTCAGACAGGTGCAATGTGTAGAGGGATTTCTTTCAAACAGCTACATGAAGATGTCTCAAGAAAAAACTCATTCAGAAATTATTGACCAGCTTAATGCTAGCGAAACAAGAATTCATCAGCTGATGTGAGTAGGCCTACTGTGTTTTGTTGGTGAAATCAAAATTGGTGATGGTATGTGTGTGAGTTTGTGTGTTGGTGTTGTTTTGTTTTCTTTTTTTTTTGGGGGGGGGGGGGTAGTTACCTTGTACATGCAAAGGAGAGCTATTGAAGGAATCATGGTGGTCCATGAAACCAGGAACAGGCAATTTGTATTCTTTAGAAGTGAAAATTGCCATTAAAAAATGGACAATTGTTGATATGAATACATGTATGTGTAATTGTAAGAATATTATATAGCAGTGCATATCGAATATGATGAAAAAATAACATGTAATTGTAACAGATGAAATAACTAGATAACAAAAGCTGCCTTTCTATTAGTAGACTTGAAACATGCACTTTGCTTCGCTTTGATTTGAGATCAAATTTTCAGTCTACCGTGTAAAAAAAATGTGTAAAAGTCATGGAAAGGTCATGGAATTCTGGCTAGAAAAGTCATGGAAAGTCATGGAATTAAATTTATGAGAAAGAGTATGAACCCTGTATGAAGTCCAAGCCCTTGTACAAATAATAGAATACATGTACCAGTACCTAAGAACTGTTAATATAAACAAACATCAAATATTTGCAGCACTTCCATGAGACTGCGTACCAAGCAGAGTCAATGAGGGATCTCCTGACAGCCATGAACACCTTCATCGATCACACCATCGTACTACCCCCGGGAGACTGGGACAGGGAACTGCTCCTTCCGGTACTCCGCATGCAGCATGAGAAGATGAAGAAGATGAGGGCCGAAACGCTAGCAGAGGAGGCTGATGGGGACATGACGGTCGTTGATATCTGTAAGTATTCTCTTGATTATTGTAAAGAGAAGTAACAAGTCATCAATCGAAAGATGAAAGTAACTCTTTATTTTCAGTGCAGTTTTCGATGTTGTCATCGAAAACAGGTACAAGATACAGTTCTATAATTGCTGTTCATAAACTTTTACAGAACTGTCCTGTTTAACATTCTGGGCTCGATTCCCATCTGACCTGTTCCTGACCTCTCTCCTTTGTTGTGATTGGTGTGGTTGTTTTGATCTTTTTTCGGGCCTTTGTTTCATTTCTTTTCTTAAGTGTATTCACATGGAACCTGATATTTTAACTCCTTTCTTTACCAATGGTCATCAGTGATGCAGACACGAAGGATTCATATTAATTTTCAATCATTTAATTTATTATCAGACTCTGATTTTTAAAGAATGTTTTTTTATTTTGTAATTCTATTCAATGCGCCTTTACACAGGCCCACGTATAGACACACGTAAGTTCTCTTTCTCTTTCTTACATGTTTTTATATTAAAGGTATTACAAAGTTTTGGTATGGGGTCATGAATTTGGTTCAAATTAACATATTGGTAGCATATGCGTTCCCACAATATTAATTGATCGTTGTTGTCGCGGTTGAAATCGAGTCTAAAGTTATGAAATTATAAATAATAAACTCTTTATGTTGTATAGCTACCTCTCAAGGTCAAGATATTAATTTAGCTATGAAACAATGTTTCTTGACTAAAATCAACCGATTAGCTATTCCCGTTTGGCAATTATATATCACAACTACATATTCTGAGATTTTCATAGTCGCAGCTACCATTGTACGGCCATAGGCGCTATTTGAAATTTATCAAAATTTACCGGGAGCACTGGTAAATTTTTACATTAACTTTTTCTCGAAAACAGAATTTTTTTAGGGGCTAATTTTTTTAGTACTTATAATACATCCACAGGGGCATCCAAATATATCAAAATTGTAAAGATTCACTATCCACCCAATTTTCAAAATTCCCAAAACTTTGTATTACCTTTAATTTAATCCATTCTGTTTTTCGAAAATGCTTTATTTGTAAATTTGGTCTTTCCGTATTTCCTCATTAATTTCTAGACGTTTTCTTTTGGGTCAGTGTCAATTTCAAGCTCCATGTTGTGTGCATTTGTTATTTAACTGTTTAGATCTCCTGCCTTTTACCCTTGACTGTTATCCTTTGCTTTTTAGTTGATCTTGCCAGTCTGCAGTTATATGTTATTAACATATATTTGACATCTGCATTTTGAATTGTGATGCGTTGACTCGCTAGATATATTAGGCCTGATTTTGCATTTGGAGTGTTAATCGTTCAAATCATGAATCTGCTGAACATACTTTTTATGCCTCCGCCGAAGGTGGTGGCGGAGGCATCATGTTTTCGGGTTGTCCGTCCGTACGTCCGTCCCGTTTGACCGTTATCACAATATCTCACCATAGGAAGACGATCTGATTAGATTTTGGAGCACGTAGGTCAAAGGTCAAGGGTCACAGAGGTCAACTTATGAAATTCCATACATTGAGATTGTTATCATAATATCTCAAGAACCACTGGAGATTTAAACTTCAAACTTAATGATAGTGTGTATCACCATAGGAAGACAATCTGATTAGATTTTGGAGCACATAGGTCAAAGGTCAAGGGTCACAGAGGTCAACTTAAGAAATTCCATACATTGAGATTGTTATCATGATATCTCAAGAACCACTGGAGATTTAAACTCCAAACTTGTTTAAATTGCTCTATGGCGGAGGCATCATTTTTGACTGCGCGCAGTCAAAATTCCATCTAGTTTTGTATTGCATAAATCCCCTGATCTGGCATCAAATGGTTCAAATGTGTAAAATATAATGATGTACCATAGGCATTGTGAGCTATGGACTTGTGACTTTATACATTGAATATGGATGTATTTGTTTTTATAAATCATCTTTTCTCTTGCCTTACCAGAGTAACTAAATGTTATGGCTTGCCTTTTTGGCTTTTCCCTGTGTACATGTTTTAGAGGCTGTTAATCAACATTTTGCATGGCACTTTTTGTATTAGTTTTTAGGCATTATCTGAATACATTTATTGATAAGTAAAATTTATCTTCCTTTTTCAGTTTTCTAGAATCCCCCCCCCCCCTCTCTCTTGTGGTTTCCAATTAATATTAGTGGTATGTGTTGTCTTTTTCTCCCTCTCTTTCTCACTTTCTCCCTTCTCAGTTTCTCCCCCCCCCCCTCTCTCTCTCTCTCTTTCTCTCTCTCTCTCTTTCTCTCTCATTTTCTCTCTCTCACTCTCTGTGCCTCTCTCATAGATTTCCTTTCTTTACATCACTAGTCCCACATACTGATTTACATGTACCCAATGCAACAAACTCTAATTGTAATTGCTTCTTGTTTCCCTTAACAGCTACCAAGCAGCAACCGTACTCAAATCTCCCTGATCCACTCAAGAGGACAGGTAAGATCTTCGGAGGCCTGATCAACGATGTCCGACGTCGCTACCCCCACTACTGGTCCGACATCAGGGACGGAATCAACTTCCAGTGCGTGGCTGCTTTCTTCTTCATCTTCTTTGCTGCTCTCTCTCCAGCCATCACGTTTGGCGGTCTGTTAGGTGAGAAACAGCTTTCACCTCATCCTATAATCATGATCTCATCATTTGCCATATTGCTATACAGCTATGTATTATTACTGAAGTATCTCTTGTGAGCAATGTGGATGATGTATTGACTGATAGAAGTTGTTTCGATGTAGAGAATGGACAAAACATGAAATGCATTGCACTCAAAATGTACATATACTTATCTGTTGTCCGACATCAATTTGTGACCTTCTGCTGGGAACATAGAGGCAAACTTGCAGTAACTCAGTGTGAGACAAAAAGTTGTGCATCGTTTTGCAATAAATGTATATTTTGTATTTTATGAAGAAAGACTGGCTCATTACAGTACAAATTGGATTCTGGTTTTAACTTTATTAGAGGATTTCATTTTTCTCATACTTACTGATGTCCCTTTTCTATTACTTTCCCTTAGCTGATAAGACTGAGAACTGGATTGGTGTGTCTGAGACCATTGTTGCCACAGCGATCAATGGATGCATCTTTGCGCTGCTCTCAGGACAACCGTTGACCATCATTGGAGTGACCGGTCCTATTCTTGTCTTTGAAGAAAATCTGTATTCGGTGAGTTAGAGATAGATATTAGATAACCAGGATTCCTGCAAAGAATAAGAAAATATATTAGTTCTGTGATAGTGTGTCTTCTACAGACTTTACAAATTAAAGAGCTTGTTCATACTGCTATAATCATATTTTAGTTATTTTGTTGTTGTTGTTGAAATTATCTTTGTTAATAATTTGAAAAGCCAAATATGAAATTTGTTTATTAAGCAAGCTTATTGACATGTACTTGCGTTGTTGGGCTAGCAAAGTGATTGCCCTCAGAGAAGTCTGGCACCCAAACTATGGCAAGCCGACAGTTTAAAAACCTGTCACCTTACCGTATACTGTAGTATAGATAGTCTCCATGATTCCATTAACTTATTCTTTATATCTCTCCTTCTTTTCACTCAAACAGTTCTGCACCGACCGCAACATTGAGTACCTTCCGTTCCGGGTTTGGGTCGGTATCTGGCTCTTTGTGATCATCACCGTCATGGTGGCGTTTGAAGGGAGCGTTCTGGTTCAGTACTTTACACGGTTCACAGAGGAGATCTTTGCGTTCCTCATCGGACTCATCTTTGTCTACGAAGTATTCAACAAGCTTTACAAGGTCAGTTTGTGGATCAATGTTTTTAGGAAGTCACACAAAAAAAGGAGGCATCGTTTAACAATGTTAAATCTGAGATGCATGGCCCTACATGTTATCAGTGTCTGTGATATGGTGTAATATTGAAGCACTAACAAAAATTGTGCTTCAAAATGATCAAGAAGTGCCTCAAAAAAGTAAAAATCTTTGAGTGACCGGTTTTACCATACTCGTTTTCCCCAATAGACTGTAGTGTTGTGAAAAACGTTTGGCAAACACAAAATTTGGTTTCGATTTCCAATCATAAATATCTTGATAATCAGACAGGCGATCGGCTTGTAAAAGTCATGGGGTTCCTGACTGACCTAAAGGTTTATAATTATCATTGTAGCATGAGCTAAATCCAGGATTTTGTTTCAGAATCTGAGACAAAGTTACCGGATCCCTTTAACATAATGCTTTGTGTAGTCACTATCACTCCTCATTCACCACGTTTCAGGAGCACCCACAATCCTGGGCATGTGTGATGATATCATAATGTACCAAGATTGTAACATTCAATATGATTAGGTTACTGCCCTCACTGTTTTACAAACCTGCCAGCTTCATGAAAGTAAATGCTATCAGTTTTCCTTAGTACAGAGTTTGACTATTTGTAAGGTTTTCTGTTTCCAAGTCTTTCCATCTTACCCATGCTTGCAACAAAAAGAAGACAAAGTCAATTCTATTGAAGATACAATAAATGTTTGTGTATAAATAGTAAAGCAAGTTGTGATTAAGCTCACCAGATGACTACGGTGTGTAGACCAGTCCTTGGACATAGTCCTTAGAAAGTAGAATACCAGGGGGGTGTTTCATAAAGCTGTTCGTAAAGTTACGCATGACTTTACGAACGACTTGTATATAAAACCCAAATGGAATGCTCAATCATTATTAACTGCATCAACTAAAGTTGAACTGTGCAGATGTAGATTAACATTCTTATTATTACAACCATTTTTAATGCAAAGTTTATTTTTTGCCATAACTTAATTGAGGTTATTGGAAATATCGGAAAAACTTTTGGGCATCCTATCTGGCACTTCATATGTGAGTCGTTTGTAAAGTCATGCGTAACTTTACGAACAGCTCTATGAAACTCCCCCCCGCAGAGCCTTCAAAACTTGAAAACATTAAACAAGCAAAAAAAGCAAGACACCTTAATAATAGTACCTGGGTAATTCCATGATTTAATAGTGGAACATTTCAAGTGGAACATTATATCATTACTGTCATAACGAATCCCCCTGCCCCTTCCCTCCTCCCCCGATGTCTTCAGACCTTCAAGACGCATCCTCTCTTGGAAGACTACTGCGTGGTTCCTGGAACCGATGACCCCATGAACTACACTGAGCTCTGGACCACCTCCTACACTGAATACACGGATGAGAACGGAACTGTCGTGTATGATCTTGCCACGCCTTCATACAACATGACTGGCAACATGACCGGCAACATGACTGGTAATAATTCCTTGATATTGACTGGTAGGGTGTGTAATACAGTCAAACCTGCTTTAGTGACCACCTGTCTACAACAAGCAAATTTTTTGTTTCCCTCGAAAATGGTTTCTCATTGAAACCTGTACCAAAGGAACCTGTCTACAAAGACCACTTTTTGTGTTTCCCTTGGGCGGTTGCTGTAGACAGGTTTGACTGTATAACAGTTTTGTTGACTGCGGAAGGGAGTTATATTTTCAAAAGGGCTTATATTTTCACAAAGCGCAGGGTTGCCTGGATGTGGTTTGATGCAAAAATTGACCGGTTGGTCAATACAACATCAAAAAATGTCTGGGAGTGAAATATGCTGATTACGATCCTCGCAATTGATATCATGTGATGAGATTTGGACCAATCGTAACTTTGTATTTGTAAGAGCTTTCTAGTACCCCTTGATATTGTACTCCTTACAATATCTTAATTAATTTCAAAGCTGGCCAACCTGGCACCTGTACCTCTATAGAATATATGAATATATAAAAAAGTGTAAGTAAACTTTAGAAAATACAAATATAAAATAAAAATGTATTTGAATAATATATTGATAACATTTGATATAATAATAAATATATTGTACCGGTTAACAAGTTTGATATAGTATGGAAACTTCAGCAACGTAATCCCAAATATTAATGAATACTTATTAGTTTCTGGAACGGATTGTTTTTTGCTATTACAAGGGATTATTACAGGACATTGAATGTGTTTCAATTTTTATTTTCTTTGTAGGTATGGGTGTCTGTTCTTCAGCTAAGGTGGTGGTAGATGGCCAACCAAACACTGCTCTCTTGTCAACCATTCTTACACTCGGCACTTTCTTCTTGGCTTACTTCCTTCGCAAATTCCGACAAGGACGTTTCCTCGGAAGGAGTGTAAGTATTCAGAGTTTTCATCGTACTGTTTCACTCTTCCTCTGCTTCATCCGAGTCTTGTCTTCCCCTCTTTCTCCTCTTGTTCTCCTCTTGTTCTCATTTTCTTTCTTTTACTGCTGTAAGAAAGGACTTGTGTTTTAGATATGAAGAACAAGACTGCCTCGTTTTTTGTTTAAAAGAAAATATAAATTTAATATCATCACTCCACTTCTGTTAATTCTGTTTCTGGTATAATTATTTAAATGACTTCTTATAATAATATGATGATATATATATATAAAATGATATAACTTCTCTACGTAAGCTGTTAAAAGGCGTATTTATCTTATCTCATTAGAGTATATTGGCAGCGTAACTGATGATATGAATTTATCCTGGTATTATTGTTATTATCAATATGACTACTGCCTCTTTTGCTGTATTTGTATTTTTGCTCTTGTTCATTTATGAATTTCTGACTACAAAACCTAATGTACTAAATGTTTTTCTTTCTTTCTTGTATTTTATTTCAGGCAAGGAAGATGATTGGAGACTTTGGAATCCCTATCTCTATCCTTGTCTTTGTGAGTGTGGACTTCTTAATCAAGGCTACATACACACAGGTAAACAAAACAGACAATTTCACCTTCTAAGCTATAGCCAGTTGACATGGTGCAACAATTCTTTTGGGGGAATACTAAAATATTTTACAAGAGTTTCTGGATAGCACAACAATTCCATGGCCCATCTGCCATGTAAAATGTTGGGGCGTCTTGAGTATCTAGATTTTATTTGGATACCACAATCAATGTTTTGATAAATCAGATGAAAGTATGAATTGTGGAAACATCATTTCCACTTGCCCATTGAAAACTAAAGGATGTAAATTTGCATTTTCTGTGTTTGAGATCAAATTTAAAGATAAAGACCAGTTATGGTCATGCGATTGCATTGTGAAAGAAACGATCTGGAATCATCAAAACGATTAGAAATTTGGCCCAGTCTTGGTAAAGTTACAAGCACTGTACACAGATAGATGTATTTGGGACTTCGTGACAAGTGTGCGACAGGTGCGCGATATCTATCAGGTCCAAATAGATACAATAATTTACCAAATATATCAATTAGTAGGCGGTTTCTCGACAAAATTTGTATCACGTATTAGTCAAAACATTTTCTTTCACATGATTCGTAATAAGAGCTTCCATTTCATTTTTTGACAGGGGGGGGGGGGGGGGTGTTTCCAAAACTGGTCTTTACCTTTAAAGGTATTACAAAGTTTTGGTATGGGGTCATGAATTTGGTTCAAATTAACATATTAACAAATTAACATATATTCCTACGATATTCATTGATCGTTGTCCCGGTTGAATTCGAGTCTAAAGTTATGAAATTATAGATAATAAACTCTTTATGTTGTATAGCTCCCTCTCAAGGTCAAGATATCAATTTAGCTATGAAACAATGTTTCTTGACTAAAATCAACCGATTAGCTATTCCCGTTTGGAAGTTATATATCACAAATACATATTCTGAGATTTTCATGGTCGCAGCTACCATTGTACGGCCGTAGGCGCTATTTGAAATTTATCAAAATTTACTGGGAGCACCAGTAAATATTTATATTCAATTGTTCTCAAAAACAGAAGTGTTTTCGGGATTAATTTTTTTAGTGCTTATAATACATCCACAGGGACATCCAAATATATATCAAAATTGTAAAGATTCACTATCCACCCAATTTTCAAAATTTCCCAAAACTTTGTATTACCTTTAATGAGCTTACAATTTAATTTCACCCTTTTGCATATGTTATGGTTTTCTCCTGCAGAAACTGGATGTCCCCGATGGTCTGAAGCCCTCCGATGTGTGCAAGCGTGGTTGGTTTGTAAACCCTCTTGGTATCAACAAACCTCTTGGTATCGGTCTCATGTTTGCTGCAGCTATCCCTGCCCTACTGGCCTTCATTCTCATGTACATGGAGACACTCATCACCGGGTATGTTGTCCAGGTCTTTTTTTACTTAACTTTCATAGATGTATTTAGCTAATGAGAGGGGTTTTCATCGCAGGAAAGTAAGGGAATTGCATCCATTTCATGTTGTGATTCAATCATTTTGTTTTATACAAAATGAATCACACAATAGTTACATTCTAATTTGTTGTTGCATATAAAATGACATACTTTCTTCAGAATATATGTGACAAGTATATATGGTGTAATGCTAAATATATTACTCATTGCGGATATAGTATTTGAAAATAATATCACTAGTGACATTCGTTTGTCTTGCAATGTATGGTCAACAAGACATCTAAAAGATCACGACGTTTCGTGTGCCACTGCTACACTTTGTCAGGTGATAAAATATATTGACAAAATATATTAACTTTGATATATGGTGTAGTTAAACATTTTACTTTGACCACACTCAATGATTATTCAATATCAATGATTCTCATACAGGTGAACGATATTGACATTCTCATACATGTATTTTCTTTCTCTGCAGACTGATTATAAACAAGAAGGATAACAAGATGAAGAAGGGATCCGGCTTCCATCTCGACACGTTCATCATTGGTTGCATGGCTGTCATGAACGGTCTCTTAGGATTGCCCCTGGTCTGGGCCGCCACCGTCCGGTCCGTCACCCACGTCGGGGCCCTGTCCGTCTTCAGCAAGTCCCACGCTCCGGGAGAGAAGCCAAAGCTCATGAAGATCATCGAGCAGAGGGTCACTGCACTTCTCATCCATATTGTTATAGGTAAGCTTGCTGTCGAGTTGTAAGATTGAAAGAATATGTTGGGAAGTTCGGTGAAATGTAGTGGCAAAGATATTTGTGTCGGGAACGGAATAAGCAGAATAGTTGGTGAATTCAAGATTTAATTTGACAAATCTGAATGGCAGTTTAGGAAATGTCAAACCTAATCGAGGCAGTAGTCCTTGATATTCATATCATATGTGTTACTCTTAGAACACCTTGATGAAGATTGTTTAAAGGTAAAGATCAGTTTTGGAAACGCCCCCTTTCAAAAAATGAAATGTAAGCTCTTATTACCAATCATGCGAAAGAATATGTTTTGACTAAAACGTGATAACAATTTTGCTGGAAACCGCCTACTAATTGATATATTTGGTAAACTATCATATCGAATGCACTGCAACATTGAACATTTGGGCATATTTCTGCTTTTTTGAAAATTTAGGTTGAAGTATGGTCATCTAAACCTCTGAAGGCGATATTGAAACAATATTGAATGGATATTTTGCACCCAAAACCCTTGAACTGCAATTTTACCACTACTGGTCTTTAATACCTTTAAGTACTTGAATTGCAATATTTCTTGTTTGATACCCCACAGGTGCGTCCATCGCCATCTCCCCCCTCCTCCGGCAGGTGCCTCTAGCCGTTCTCTTTGGTGTGTTCCTCTACATGGGTGTGACCTCACTCAATGGTATCCAGATGGTAGAGAGAGCTAGTCTCCTCTTCATGCCCGTCAAACATCATCCTGATACACGCTATGTCAGGGAGGTATGTACCCAGCACAGAGTTTTGACAGTGATCCAGGCTTTATTTTGTAAATGTTACCGGGTCAGAGATTAGATAAGGTTATATTTGGTGCTTGGTCGAAGTTAGCGATTCAACACGCTATGTCAGGGAGGTATGTAGTCATCCCAGAGTTTTGTCGGTGATCCAACATTTGATCCAGGCTTTATATAGTAAATGTTACAGGGTTAGAGAGAAGGCTAAGGTTTTGTTGGTGCTTGGTAGAAGTTAGCGATTCAACATGCTATGTCAGGGAGGTATGTAGTCATCCCAGAGTTTTGTCGGTGATCCAACATTTGATCCAGGCTTTATATAGTAAATGTTACAGGGTTAGAGAGAAGGCTAAGGTTTTGTTGGTGCTTGGTAGAAGTTAGCAATTTAAATTGACCATGATGCATGTGTCAATTAGACTTTCATTTTATTTGAAAGGAGGGGAAGTGGTTAGGCAAGGATGGGAGGGGGCAGATGGATAGAAAGAGAAAGATTGGGATTTTTAATGGTTTCAGGGCAGGTTCCTTGTGTACATTTAAGCAGTGATTAAATTAGTTGTCGTAAATATTATTTATTCAGAAGGAAGGAGACTTGGTGTTAAAATGGAATAAAAGTTTACTACTTATTGTGTTATCCATTCAAATTAGCAAAATTCACATTAAAACGTGAAGAATGATTTAATGTCTTCTTAATGTTCTATCTAATCTGTGTTGATATCTGAACATACTTAGACAAAGTCCATCAGTTGTTAATAGTGTTAATTCTGTAAGTCCCCTTTGAGGCACATCATCGGATAAACAAATCAATGTAGATAAGTGCATCATCAAGCAATTCATTTCAAACCCCACCTTCAACTCCCATCCATCCAAGCAACTCTAATTCCATCCCACTCTCTCTATCCAGGTGCGTACATGGAGGATGCACATCTTCACCATCATCCAGCTAGGCTGCCTTGCTATCCTGTGGATCATCAAACTCACTCCGGCCGCCCTGGCATTCTCTTTCTTCCTCATCCTCCTCGTACCGATCAGGAGTCAACTCAAGAGGATCTTTACCAAGCAGGAGTTAGACGCGGTATGTTCTAACTATTCTGTTTTCTACTACCGGTATTCAAGTACAATAATAAATAATGATAATCAGTTCTTGTTGAGCTCGTATCAACTACCTCTGTCTCGATGGGCTTCTAGTGAGCATAAGATTAGGTAATAATGGCATTTAAGAAAGCTAGTGCTAGAGCTAGCCAACCTGATAGCCACTGGAGCATTCAAGGACTTTCTTTCTACAGGGTACCAATTTACTTCTCCCGGGTGAAAACTGGCAAATGTAGATTAATGTCTAGCTACAGGATGTCACTTTCCTGGTCTGATTAAGATGGGATGGGATGTAATATACATGTAAGTGCATGATGTATTTTTGATTGAAGATCTAATAATACTTATTTGTTTTCTTCTTTTTTTTCTCACCAACAGCTTGACAGTGATGAGGTGGATGCTAATGAGGATGAAGACGATGAGTATCAAACTGTCCACATGCCTCAGTAGAGGTCAAAGGTCATCCGCTGCTTTCTGTCTCCAAGGGAGAGTGTTGTGTTGAAATCTTGCTGCCAATAAAAAACGCACTTTCAACCCGAAATGTCTTCTCTGATTCCCCACCGAACTAATTCTTCAATATCATAGTTGTATATCAATCGTCATGAAAGGTTCAAAGGTCATGTAAGGTTAAAAGGTCATATTGGCCCTTTGTAACATAATTAGATATCAACTTTGTTTGAGCCTTGTGTTGAGCTACTATTCTATTATTGAAGTTTATTGCTTCTAACTGCCTTCCAACCTCTTGCATGAAAAGTGTGTATTGTTTGACGTCTAGCCCCCCAAAACACCACAAAATGTAATTTGATTCCTAAACCTGTATATCAAGTAGCATATTGCAAACTATATGTAGTATGTAGTATGTTGCTAGCATTACCGTTCATGATAAATGGATGTACCCCAAAATACACAAAAATTTGCAGAGAATTATTTCTTAGGGTGCAAAAGAATTGTGCAGAAATATGTATCATTTACCATTGTAATAACAGGGTTTGAAAATCATTGTATCACTGTTGGGTAACGGTATCTGTGCAGCACTTCACATTATTCAAATATTAATTGTCTTGATAAAGTATGATATTGTCAACGTAGAGCCAAATGGGTGTTTACTCTGTGTTTATGAGTTAATGCCCTTCTGGCTCTGAACAGTCAATATGTACAGTATGAAGAGTTGTTTCTGTCTGACAGTGTACCCACAGTTAAGTTTGCACCTTGGTAGGCACCGAGTAGTTCCGACGAAAGGACAAGTAGGTTAAACCCCCATGCTCTTACCCTACATGATATCTACAGACCATCGGCTCAGAGCCAGAAGGATGTTAACTCGTATCATTGACTAAACACCCTTCTGGCTCTCAACTGACGATTTGTTAATTAATAGCTCATTATCAGAAAGACCTTCACGTTGAAATGCATTTATAGTGAAATGATAGATGCCTTTCAGCGTTCATGTATTCTCGCACAAACTCATGAGGATTAATCCAACTATCTGGCTAGGATTGCATTTATATATATGTTATTATTTCATGACTGCATTGTACAGTTCTATGGGACAAAATTTAATTGTTAACGTCATTGCATTGCATTTTTATCAAGTACTTTTTTTCTACTCTGCCTTCAGTACTATGCAAATGAATTTTGAAATTGAAAGAGCACTTAGGCTCCAACAGAGGCTTTGTAAAAAAATATATTAAAAAGTAGTGTAAAATATAATTAAAAGATGTGTTATTTATCTTTCCATAGTGTTAATATTATAAAAGTGATTAAAAAACTATTTTGCCTATTATTAAAGAGTACTTCTTTCTAAAAAAAATGATTTGATTAAAAAAAACACTCTTTCTTTGAGTTGTCTTTCTGTAATACCAACTTTATCACTATTTTCTCTTCGTTTTCCCCAGTCAGTGATAATTGAAAGAATGTAAGTTTGACTTTAATGATGTAAAAATCATCACTCTTTTGACTGAAAATGACACCAAACTGTACTTTGTGAGACAATTATTGCATCGCTTTCTCCTCGCTGAAATGATGTTTTTGAAGCATTTTGTGGAGAAAACTGAAAAATAGGTGTGAAGCTTTGGCGTATTTATAAAGATAATTCTGTTTGTGATTGTGTCTTTGAGTTGTCATTTTCTGTGTAGCTGTGAGAGTTTTCACATATTTTGTACAGGCTTCCAATAACTCAAAGTCTCTGTGAAATATTATATAAATGGTGCTTTCATTAAAGAAAATATATTTAATTTGTTTATATAAATCCATATTATTTTTATACCCTCCTAGTAATTCTCTGAAGCTTTACTGAACCTAAATATAATCCTATTTGACAAAGTTATCTCTCAGATTATTTTACTATTTTCATCAAGACCATTGACCTTAAATAGCCATTTAGTTTTTGACAAATGAAATGATTATATTCTTGTTTTGAAATAATTGAAGATTGTTATGAGATTTAAATAGTAATTTGGTGATAGAGATTTTCATTCCATTAACTGACAAACTACATTTTTTATCAATCTTTTTTCTAATATTTGTTATGGTTTTCACTGAAATAAGGCTGTAATTTGTAAGTGGAGATACAAACAAATTACACAAACAGAACTGAAACACATACCTTTGAATATCATTATCTACTGAAATTTAAATATTAGTATTTTCTTGATGTTTCTATATATTGCTTTAATTACTTTGGTACTCCTTTTATAAATGGAACATTATGGTAATTTTGTACTGCTTTCTTTGTTTGATGAAACACGTTTCTTTTGGCGCTACTAAATGATATCTACTAAACCTTGTACTTGTATGGAAAGCCTTTATTTCAACATGTATCCTTGTGTAGGTATACAAACAAAAATTGTGCTCATTGTTTGCATTGTGACATTTGCTGATTTTGTATATGTATATTGTGTGATTCACATGTCTATAAGCATGAGAAGCGTTAAATTACAGTCAAACCTGTCTATAGTGGCCACTTTTTCTGTTTCCCTTGGGTGACCTTAATGGACAGGTTTGACTGTATCTCATTCTTCACTTTTAGCAAAGATGGTTGATTATATGATTATACATGACGGAAAAAGAAATTTGTTTAACAATTTTGTATGCAAGACGTTAAGAATTGTGCAGCTTGAGGTTACATGTATGGAGAAAAAAAGATTTTAAAAATATGACATTTTATGGCTTGTGTGTGATGAATGAAAAAAGAAATGGCTGGAGGGAGCATTATTTACATGGCTGGAGGAAGCTTTATTTTAATGGTGCCAAAGTTTGCATTTTTGTACTTTATCAATCAAATTTATTTTGTTATGTAATACTTGTATATATGTAGAAAATATCAATTATCTTGTTCGGCAGTCCATGTTATGGGGAGCGAAATATTTTGTGTCTGCAAAGAAAAATACTGTATATTCCTGCATATTGCACAAAATTGTAAAATAGTTCAAAGGTTTAAAGAAAGGAAAAAAAATCAAAATCAATTTTGCAGTTTTTATTCTACAGTAAAAAAAACTTTATCATATGAATTTTGTGATAATCTTTTAAGATGAAAAAAAGGCACATTTGCTCTATATATTTGTTAATATTATGTGTGGGTTCTTTCTATCTCTCTTTCTTTTTTTTTCTTTTTTTTTATGAGACTGCATAGATGCTATTTTTGTATGTTAGTATATTCACGGACATATTGTATACCATGTTTTATGTATTGATGCAAGTAATGTATGATTTTTTTTTACAAATTGATGTTGCTTAATTGGAGTTAATTGCATGGGTTTGGAAAATTTCATATTCACTTGTTCGCAATATAGTGTTTGTCTGTGCTATTTTTTTGTTGCACAAGATTATTAAAAGAAATGGAAAAAAATTAAAAAAAAGTGTCTGTGTTATTTTTAATATTTAGTGTTAAAATGAGAGTTGCAAATGGTCCTGAAATAGTGATGAAAATAATTTTGTAATTTATGAGTTATTGTGGTATTTTACATTACTCAGAGGCTTGCCTTATACTGCATGTATTCTTGCATCAAATATAATGAAAAAACTGTTTCCCTTAGTAAGGCATTCTAGCTAGATTGCTTCTCTTCACCTAGGTGTATAAAAGAGCAAACATAGAATGAAAAACTGTTTCCCTTAGTAAGGCATTCTATCTAGATTGCTTCTCTTCACCCAGCTGTATAAAAGAGCAAAACTAGAATGAAAAACTGTTTCCCTTAGTAAGGCATTCTATCTAGATTGCTTCTCTTCACCTAGGTGTATAAAAGAGCAAAAATAGAATGAAAAACTGTTTCCCTTAGTAAGGCATTCTATCTAGATTGCTTCTCTTCACCTAGGTGTATAAAAGAGCAAAAATAGAATGAAAAACTGTTTCCCTTAGTAAGGCATTCTATCTAGGTTGCTTCTCTTCACCTAGGTGTATAAAAGAGCAAAAATAGAATGAAAAAACTGTTTCCCTTAGTAAGGCATTCTATCTAGATTGCTTCTCTTCACCTAGGTGTATAAAAGAGCAAAACTAGAATGAAAAACTGTTTCCCTAAGTAAGGCATTCTATCTAGATTGCTTCTCTTCAACTAGGTGTATAAAAGAGCAAAAATATAATGAAAAACTGTTTCCCTTAGTAAGGCATTCTATCTAGGTTGCTTCTCTTCACCTATGTGTATAAAAGAGCAAAAATAGAATGAAAAAACTGTTTCCCTTAGGCATTCTAACTAGATTGCTTCTCTTCACCTAGGTGTATAAAAGAGCAAAAATATAATGAAAAACTGTTTCCCTAAGTAAGGCATTCTATCTAGATTGCTTCTCTTCAACTAGGTGTATAAAAGAGCAAAAATAGAATGAAAAAACTGTTTCCCTTAGGCATTCTAACTAGATTGCTTCTCTTCACCTAGGTGTATAAAAGAGCAAAAATATAATGAAAAACTGTTTCCCTTAGTAAGGCATTCTATCTAGGTTGCTTCTCTTCAACTAGGTGTATAAAAGAGCAAAAATAGAATGAAAAACTGTTTCCCTTAGTAAGGCATTCTATCTAGATTGCTTCTCTTCAACTAGGTGTATAAAAGAGCAAAAATAGAATGAAAAAACTGTTTCCCTTAGGCATTCTAACTAGATTGCTTCTCTTCACCCAGGTGTATAAAAGAGCAAAAATATAATGAAAAACTGTTTCCCTTAGTAAGGCATTCTATCTAGGTTGCTTCTCTTCACCTAGGTGTATAAAAGAGCAAAAATAGAATGAAAAAACTGTTTCCCTTAGTAAGGCATTCTATCTAGGTTGCTTCTCTTCACCTAGGTGTATAAAAGAGCAAAACTAGAATGAAAAACTGTTTCCCTTAGTAAGGCATTCTATCTAGGTTGCTTCTCTTCAACTAGGTGTATAAAAGAGCAAAACTAGAATGAAAAACTGTTTCCCTAAGTAAGGCATTCTATCTAGATTGCTTCTCTTCAACTAGGTGTATAAAAGAGCAAAAATAGAATGAAAAACTGTTTCCCTTAGGCATTCTAACTAGATTGCTTCTCTTCACCTAGGTGTATAAAAGAGCAAAAATATAATGAAAAACTGTTTCCCTTAGTAAGGCATTCTATCTAGGTTGCTTCTCTTCAACTAGGTGTATAAAAGAGCAAAAATAGAATGAAAAACTGTTTCCCTAAGTAAGGCATTCTATCTAGATTGCTTCTCTTCAACTAGGTGTATAAAAGAGCAAAACTAGAATGAAAAACTGTTTCCCTTAGTAAGGCATTCTATCTAGGTTGCTTCTCTTCAACTAGGTGTATAAAAGAGCAAAACTAGAATGAAAAACTGTTTCCCTAAGTAAGGCATTCTATCTAGATTGCTTCTCTTCAACTAGGTGTATAAAAGAGCAAAAATAGAATGAAAAACTGTTTCCCTTAGGCATTCTAACTAGATTGCTTCTCTTCACCTAGGTGTATAAAAGAGCAAAAATATAATGAAAAACTGTTTCCCTTAGTAAGGCATTCTATCTAGGTTGCTTCTCTTCACCTAGGTGTATAAAAGAGCAAAAATAGAATGAAAAAACTGTTTCCCTTAGGCATTCTAACTAGATTGCTTCTCTTCACCTAGGTGTATAAAAGAGCAAAAATAGAATGAAAAACTGTTTCCCTTAGTAAGGCATTCTATCTAGGTTGCTTCTCTTCACCTAGGTGTATAAAAGAGCAAAAATAGAATGAAAAACTGTTTCCCTTAGTAAGGCATTCTATCTAGGTTGCTTCTCTTCACCCAGGTGTTTAAAAGAGCAAAACTAGAATGAAAAACTGTTTCCCTTAGTAAGGCATTCTATGTGGATTGCTTCTCTTCACCTAGGTGTATAAAAGAGCAAAAATAGAATGAAAAACTGTTTCCCTTAGTAAGGCATTCTATCTAGATTGCTTCTCTTCACCCAGGTATATAAAAGAGCAAAAAAGAAATGGTAGTTTGACAGTTACCAAACAATTTTTTTCTACATTTTTCTTCCTGGGAGTATGTTTACATAATTTTTTCTCCAGACATCCAACACCTTTGGCCTAAAAGTGGTGTGACTACTGTATTTTTTTCCATTCTACTGAATATAAAATAAATCCTTTAAAAAAAAAAGATTATAAAATAATAATTATTTTTTTGTCTAGAGGTATAGGGAGAGGACATGGCCCTTTTCTCCAGATCCATGCACCACCATCTCTCTAGGGTCTTTTTGCATTAAAAAAAAGAGGTGATCAAAATCAAGAAAATTGGTTTATCAATCAACCGCCCCCCCCCCCAAAAAAAAATGTGTACTATTAATTTGTCTCGACGATGGCTTTTACATGTTTGCCTGTGTACAAATTAATATATCCCTGAAGAGAATATATGGTGAATTGCCGTTTGATCTACTACCAAAGTCTATTCCAATATGGTTTACACCCAGCCCGTCTAATATATCCACTAGTCTAATGATAGTCATTTTGTCTACTTATCATTTGGTCTAATGACCATTTAGGCTAATAGTCATTTGGTCTTATTTCCACATGGGCTATATAATCTCCAATTAATTAGTCTACTACCCAGTATCCATTTGGTCTATTAACTGCATGTTCATCTAGTCTGATAACCAATTTAATTAGCCTTATTCCCAGTGTTTACGGGTGCCCTAAGCCCATATCGTGTATATACCATCCATATCCATATAGTAAGATTATAAATGTTTTGTATTTTCCACATTTGTCATTTATGTTATGGGTCCACCCAATTCCCTCAAGCCATATTGGCTTTAATTTATCGGGTGCTAATGATCCAGTACACTTCTCAAAGTCTAGAATGTGATTCTTTTATGAAATAATAAATTGAATTGAATAATAAATTAAATTGAATATTATACTAGTTCTAAAAATCATTTGATGATTAATTATCATAATTATTATCGTTGCATGATTATTGATATTGATAGACCATATGGATAAATAAATGGTAATTAGACCAAATGATTTTAAAAAAAGTAGATGAAATTTTATTAGAAAATGTAGAGACGGGCTGGGTGTATAGACCAAAGGGCAATAATCCGGTCGAGACTACTATCATGATCGTTTGCATATTAACCTTTGAACCCAACTCTCATAACGTGGCTGCCGTTGGTTTGTTGCTAGACAGGACGATCACCAAGATGGATTCCTTCAGGTTGAAAGGCTGCGGGTATTTAGTTTCTTCAACAGTTTTCTTGGTTAGTATGGGTTGGTGGAAGGTCTTGAGAGTAAGAAGTATTACAGACATTATTTACATATCCAATTATATTTGATTTGATAAAGTCTATTTGACTTAAAATCGGGTAGAACTGAGCTGAGTTTGAGACGAGAGCCCGTGAACTGTGTGTGTGAGTCATTACCGAGTGGGGGTGTAGCCGCCCGATAGAGCACGACCGTCCCGGGTCCGGCCGCTCGAGAGCCGGGCCGGCTGATAATGCCGGTGACAGTTTGCTTCCTCATTCATTTGACTTTATCTTGACTTAAATGAAATAGGATATTGGGCGCTAGTTCAGAATCATATCCATACTTTGATCTGTAACTCCGTTGTGGAGATACCATACCAACAATCAACTAAATCTTCATCAAAAATAGTTCAAATAAATAATGCTGTCAAGTGTCATGATTAAAAAAGTTGTGAATTGCGTAGATCTAGTTCTTCATTAAGTTAATCTAAGCAATTCACCATTACGGCCGCTAACTTCACACATGCGCGCCCGCCCTCACCCTGCTGTGCAATTGTATTGTGCAGTAGTTTACGAAGTATCAATCTGGCGTGATGACGGAAAATATGAAAAATACTGCAATATTTTCAACCAAAACAAAAATGGTGCTTCGTTTTGCCCAGTTTTTTTCAGATTAAAACAGGGTTTAACAACTTACTGCAATAATAATGAGTAAGAACAACTCTTCTTCAATTTGACATTTCAATCATTTCATTTGGTGGTTTCTAAGGCGGGATTTTACAGTTTAGCTGAGACTCTTTAGTAGCAGTTAAGCGTAAACAAGTCGTTTACTTTTTGCAAATTAGGCTTCAATGATGAATCAGACAAAAGCTTTCATACAGTTAATTGTTTCCTAGCCCCGCGCCTGCATGGGCAGATATTGACCTGTAACTCTGGGCTGGCATGGAGATACCCTACTGAAACATACCAGAAAATGAACTGAATCTTCACCAATTGTTCAAATAATGGTTATGATTTAAAAGTCGTTATCTTTCTTGCCTGTTTCGTGTAAATTTTCTTATCATTTTGAGAGTATTTTTCCTAAAAACAAAGACATTTGTACCTTTTATACACTTTCTCATAGGTTTCACAGCAAACCGCTTCACAATACAACGGTGGGTTTTAGGCGTGCGCCTGCCTGAAGCTAGCAACCGTATTGATCATCATCAATTCATAATGTGAATTACTTTCATGAATTTAATGAGAATCTGAGATTACAGTCGCCAACGTAATGGGTTGTTTTTTTTAACTTCCTATTTTTCTGTCATAGATAATATTTTTTTTCTTTGTTTGTCTCCTATCATATCTTATATTTTGATCTCCCTTTTTGTTATCCTTTGTATTCTTCCTTCATTCCCTCTCAACACATGCTACCACAAATTTCTTTTCTTTTCACTTGTCATCTTCCATTTCTACCTCTCCCCATATTTCTCTGTTTAACTTCCAAAGCTCATTACTGAAAAATTTGCTTTTGGTGAAGGCACGCTATGAATTCACACTTTCTGATTCTGATTCTGAATGATTCTGTTCTGATCCTGGTCCTGATCCTCAAGAGGGATATAAAGATGACCAATAAGAACGTTATCGTTCGAGAGAGAGTGTTTGTTGCTTCTAGAACACACTGCACGCTAGAGTAGTCTAGGAAGCAAACCAGTCCTCCAGACCACGCACTTGATGCTGGACTGGTTCAGTAGTACGCTTCCCTTTATGCTTGCGTCTTCACGCTCTCGTTAGACCGTTCTTATGAAACTGCTCCTCCTAAGACCGTCCTAATATAATGGGATGAGTATGAATGGGGTCTTGGATAGCCGAGACTCAAAGAGTATCGTTGTCTGTGAAATACTTTGACATTGAAGATACTAAAGCTGACCTGAATGTACCCTTGGATATGATGTTAAAGTGCACCATAATTAAAGTGGCAGTAAATTTAAAAAATGATTGAAAACAGTTTTAAGAAGTACTAATCAAATGTATTTACCATTTTACAGCTATGTTGTGTGGTATGCCATACAAATCAGCAAGCCACTGTGGATCTAATGGACTCCAACATGGACAACATTCTGCAGCACAATGACATTGTCTTTGTCAACTTCTATGCCAATTGGTAAGATGCTTGCGATCAAAATAATATTTCACATTTATATTTAATACTTTAGTGGGCTTTACAATGCTACATGTATTTCCTCCTAGTCAACAAAATTTGAATGAACTTCCTTTCCCCAGTTTCTTCTCCTTTTGGGCAAGGCTCCACACAAACTTTCTTGGCAGGGGGTCCAGATGGGGGTCCGTATGCTTCAGGGGTTATTTGTTTGTCTTTTGGTTTTGGTTTAGTTTTTGTTTTCTGGAAAAGGGAAGTCCTCAAATTCGCTTTCATTATTAATAAATTATTCTTACCGGTAATTTGCCTTTAATCATCATTTGGTACATGTTTATAAGGCTTAGCAATTAATTTGTCTATAGTTTTAATCTATAATCATATTATTGTCTCTTCAGACCAACAGGGTCTATTTGGAAAGCAGTTCTGTAACTGACAATGCTACCCTGTAAAATAAAACTAACAATAAATAAGTATATAAATAATAAATGAATATCTGGTATTTTATTAACAAAATGATAAATTGCGTGTACCAGTATCCCACCTGTACATGCATTTTTCTGTACCGGTTTTCTACAGTACAACACTTTAATCATACCAGTACTTTAAAAGTCTTCCTTGGAATACCCACAATGTACAATATACAGGCAGGCAAAAGAAAATTGGTATATTTGATCAAACAGGTCATCACATTGAACAGCCATATTGTGCATTTCCTTTAGTATCTTTGTTCAATGCTCAACCGCTTAATTTCATACATTTAAAAGAGGGTTATGGAATGTGTAATTTATTGAATGTTCATTTTTTTTTTTTTGTGTGTGTGTGGTTTATTTCCTTTTTGTTTTACTATACATGCATTTTTTTCTGTACTGGTATTCTACAGTATGACACTTGAATCATACCAGTCCTTTTACAGTCTGCCCAATGCCCACAATGTACAGGCATGCAAAAGACAATGGGTACATGTATACTGTAAATGCAGTTATTTTTGTGTGATTAAATATTCGCGTTGAGCCACCCAAAACATATTTGCTGATTTTCACGAGTTCTAATGGGCTGTGTAATGTATTAGTGTTCATTGTTTTTTTGTTTGCTTTTGTTACATTTTGTTTTGCTGTAACCAAACACTTAGTACACATCAATAAACATTACCGTGTACACAAAAAAATTGAAGGCATAATTGACATTGTGTTCAATTATAATGTACATGTACATGTAGGCGTCATGACCTTCATGAGGCATTTAATGAAGCTTAGATTCCAGGACATGTACATTTAGTCCTCATAATACTAGGAAAAGGGGGCTAGATGCTCTAACGCCTCTAAGTGTCTAAATCCACTCCACAGTGTACAAGGACAGAACACTTTTGCACTCCCTCTAAAATCACAATTTGAACGCCTATAGTACATGTATCTGCAGAATGAAATGTATCTTTGCATTTTAAGGACATGTTGCTTTATGGAGGATTTAATATTTCTGAGTCATCATGTGGGGGATTCTACAGAACATTGTCATTTGATTCATGCATGCATGCATTCAGCAGGAGTTGCTCATAAAATATCAATGAAAGTGCTTGGGGAGAAAAAAACGGGAAAGAAGGAAGAGACATTGATTAAGATGCATGAGGAAATTGCAACTTAAAGGAAGTACATATACTTCATGTTTGAAAATGAACAATATTACATGGGTTGGGACATTGCAGTGGTTATTAATTTATTCCAATTACTCCTCTAATGTTTATATTTAAATTTACATGATTTTAGTAATTATAGTACATACATAGAGATGCATTTAAATTTTGGTCACTTGTGATCAAATAGACCGTTTACTTACATGTATACTACAATTTATGGACGTTTCTTTCATGGGGACCTAATGATAATTTGTTCATGAATCTGTTATTAATGAATGAAAACTACAATAATTGGAATCCAGTCTGCATACACTACTTGTACATGTAGCTACATGTATGTTGGGCAAGCTTTCAGGTTGTCAAGAATGACATTTGTTCAAAAAGTATCCATAGAATAAGACGCCTGGCTGGAATGCTCCCCAGGGAGTGGAGAATGTGCATACATTGTGTGCGTGTAAACCTGAATCCTATGACCGGGGTAATAATATATATATCTGTAAAGCGCTTTGAGAGGGCCTTCGGTCCTAAAAAGCGCTATATAAGAACTAGCTATTATTATTATTATTATTATATATTAGTAAATTAAACCTGTTTATTGAAATGGTAGGTACCCTTGGAGAGCTTTGGCAGAGCAAAATCATATCCAGTTGTCACTGCGTAACAGCTGTGCTCAAGTTTATTTATTCAGTGGTAAATGTGCAAACGAGTCTTTTCAGCATTATTGATTTTTTTAATGAGACTTTGTAAATTATAACCGAGACATTAACAACGGTAGAATGAATCAGTAATTTATCAAAGATAATCAAACCATATATCACCTCCTATACTGTTTCACAATATTCTTACATCAGTTTTGTTGTACAAATTACAGATCTATAATCCTACTTTCTGGTAACAACAACCAAATATACATTTATCAGAAATGATAGTTATCACCAAATCTATGTGTAAATAAACGATATCTGCGAAATTAATCTGAATGTACATATCAGTGTCAGTGATTTTCAGGGTTTGCAAGTTTGTCGGCAAAATGTTGCTGTTTTTTTCTTCATTTGGCTGACCTAAATTAATCACCAACTTCAGTTCATTACAAGATAAGAATTCCCAAATGATTTATAAGGTTTTCTCAAAATGAATGAGCTCTGTGAAAATTAGCCTTCAATATATTTGAAAAAAAAGTACTACAAAATTCATTCACTTTTCTTTTAAATTAGAGGGGTCATATTTGAAGTAAACTTAATCTTTTTTCCCTTGATATGTATCTAGTATATTAAAGTATTTGGATAAGAAATGTTTCGATGTAATGAAAAAGAAATGCATATTTAAGAAAAAGTGACTGTTTGCTCTTCTTTATTTTTTGACTACTCTTGTATGTAGTAAATTCTCCAATGACTATGTGCAATGCAAGACATGAGAATAATCTCCTTTCTATAATATCCTTTAACGCTGTAATACTTTTTGTTTCTGTAAAATTGTTCATGTTTTGTTCAAGACTCGACAAGGAAGTACAGGTATCGGGTTTCATTATAACAACTTTCCTGCTTTGATGATTGTTTCAGAAGTATAGTACGATGAATGCACAACTACACGCATGTGTGAAATCGATTGACACAGTTACATGAAGTATGGTGCAGTACAAAGCACAATGCAACAATATTTGTTGTACAGCCTGAGTTATACAATTTACCAGATTTTGTATGCATATTTGTAAATTGCTACATGTACCTTGCAAATGTAAATTGACATTGTGGTTTCTATATTTTTGATGTACGACACACATTAAAGTGTGCATGTACAATTGTACTTGCATGAATGAGCAAATGCTCTGCAAAGCACTTTGATTATTTATGTACCGTAGTCATCAAGTCATGTAAAAACAATTTTCAATTTGTGTTTGTATTTTTCTCTTTCTCAAATCTATAACTGTTTCTTTAATTTTGACCCGATTTTTGATGATACAGGTGTAGATTCAGTCAGATGTTGAAGCCTATCTTTGAGGAGGCTGCTAAAGTTGCCCAACAAGAGTTTCCCGGTCAGGGGCAGGTTGTCTTTGGAGGCCTTGACTGTGACAAATATCGTGAGTAGGCTTTATCTCCTTGTGGGTTGTGTCATCATTACCCAAATATCCACAGCGTTCAATGACTTAATTGAAACCAGGTCAAGAACTTTGATCAAATTCTGTTAATCATTATCAATTCTCGAACAGTTTGGAATAATTAACATGATGTGTCAGACCAACATAATTGCATATATCATATTTCATATTTTCTCGAAAATGTTATGACCTCTTACTTTGTTATGTCCACATATTTTTGTAAACTTGAATATCATGAAGACAAAAATGTTATTGATTGCATAGTTACTTAAAATGGCGTTGAAACATGTCACAGTTTCCGTCTGAAATTTTGAGCTTGGCTTTCAAGCAGAATTCTTATTTCTGCTGACAGAATGATACATGTTTTTTGTCAATTTAAAAAAAAAAAAAAATTATTTTTGGCGTTATTTCATAACCTACTGACAACATATTTCATCAGATTCGATTGTGTGTCAGCAAATTTGTGATATAATAAAAGACAGTTGTTATTTAATTTCTGAAAATTGTCTAAATACAGCTCTGGCATGTATATAGGGAAGGTGAATACTCATACATGTACACTGTTTTCCAGTCTCAGTGTAGATGAATGTAGTCTATACTGCAAGACTCTATATTTCTTATATTCATTGAGTAGGGTATGGTAATCAGTTATAGCAACAAAGTAAGACTAAGAGTAAAGAGAATAAGAGATACATTAATTAGATTCTGGAAGCTGTAGAGAGGGAGACATTTTGAAAAGGAATGATGGCAGTGTAAATATAAATGTGACAGCTGGTGTTGGTTGACTAGAAACCAGTAATCTTCTCTTCCTAACTATTAGTGCATTTTTTTGAGTGGATTTTCAGACAACTTAAAAGTTAAGAATTTGTTTTGTCTTCTCTTTTGAGAAATTTACAGTATTTAAATTAGTTTGCTTGATACTTACCAACATGTTTCTCATGAATTGTAGGATATACACAATTAAAACATATCTTTTCTCCTGAAAATTTGCTAATTGTACTTTTAAAGTTCTGCCCTAACCGTATTTGAATTGATTATCAACAATTATATATGGGCCCTTTCACTTGATTGCTTATCCATACAACACACACATTTTTGAAATTGCTCAATAAAGTAACTTCGTTTATAATTCTTTAACTTTCTAGCGGCCCTTGCCAAGAAGTACCACATATCCAAGTACCCGACCCTGAAGTTATTCCGAGGAGGTCAGCTTGCTAAACGGGAGTACAGGTCACAGAGGTCAAAGGATGCTTTCGTCTCGCATATCAGGGACAACCTGAAGGACCCGTTGGTCAAGCTCACAAACCCAGATGAAGTACCAAATCTAGATGTAAGTTCAACTTCTTAGTCTACTAGACCACTTCGGAGATGGTACATGAAGAAATGACTCCCAAATATTTTGAGATCTTTTAAACATGGAGAATTAAGTGTATTTATGTATTTGAAAATAATCCTAGCTAAAGAGATTTTATCATAAATATAGAGAGTGAGAGAAAAATTATCTGTAGCTTGTTTTGTAACACATGAATAAGGATAACCTATTTTTCAAGAGCCCTCCATTAGTATTATTTCAATTTTTATCAACAGTTTATTTATATACTTCCATAAATGAAGAGCCCTATAATGGACATGTTAATATCATGCCTATTTTTATTTCTCACAGGAAAGCAAGCGTAAGGTTATTGGTTATTTCAAGAGCTACGAGGATGCTGAGTATACTGCCTTTAGAAGGGTAGCGAGCAGTCTACGAGATGACTGCTCCTTCTTTGCTGGGTCAGGGTAAGTCTTATCATCATAATATTATAAAAAAGTGGATACCCACCTGAGCTCCCCCCTCACCCTTACAAAAACAATATTAATAATAAATAAATTAAAAATAAATTTAAAAAATGAATAAAATGTAACAAATTAATTCAGTAATTAAGTAAGTAATAAAATAAATATGATAACATTTTTTTAAAGGAAGAAGAAAAAAAGGGAAAAAGAAAATATTTGTAAAAATAAATGAATAAAAATAAACAACTTAATAAAGTGATAAAATGAAAAAGACCCTGTGGTAGAGTAGAATCTTTCTTCCTTGTGAATGAATGGATGTGGGGCAACAGATATACATTTTTTTAATTGAATAATTCATAAATAGTGTGAGGGATTTCTTTGACTACATTTGCGCAACACATTTCAGTCAGTACATTGTTTCAATTATTTTAAAACCCATCCAGTACATGTTATTTGTAAAGTTGAACGATGTAATGATTTGTATGACACAAAGTATGATTACAGTATCTCTTTCTCCTAATTTGTTTGTGATTTTCAGAGAAGCTTTCAGTAAAGAGTTAGCACCAGGAAACAGTATCATGTATCGACCTCCAAGGGTAAGTTTACAGCTTCAAGAATATTTTATTTAAAAAATAATTAATGTGGCTCTCCCAAAAGAACAAAATCAAGACAGATTCCCACATTATGCCTTTTTTCTAAAGTTTGATTGAGAGCCCCCCCCCCCCCCAAAAAAAAAAAGATGCCAAATACATGAACTGTGTTTAATCTGTGTATACTCTGTGAATTTTTTTAGGAAGATAGATAAATGCAAAGCACATTGTGTGTATTTGTTGTCCGGCAGCACTTTTCAATTATTGCAACACATTATGTGTGTATGAGCACTTAGACATAATATGGCTTGATTTCCAGATGAGTAGAAAGGTCAAAAATATCTGCAACACACTGCATTCATTTTTGTTCAATGGCTATATTGCATTTGATGCCCGGAATTTCACAAAGGAAAATAATCTTTAAAATCATTACAATGGCAACACTTTGAGAGATTCAAAGGAGGCAATTTTTTCATCTTTTTGACAACATTCTTGCCCATGCATATAGAGATTACATTTTTTAACAATGTAGCAATAAAAGAAAAATATTTTTGTTGCCAATTTGAAGAATGATATATGATCAATTGAGCTGTAAGAATAAATCCTGTCTTGAAAGGGCTATGTGATTGACTATGCATGCTTTTCTGCTTATCCTTTTCTTCTCTCGACAGTCTATAGATCAAGACATGCTATTTATGGGATCCATGACCAATGTTGAACTTCTGAGAGCTTGGTCCACTGACAAATGTATTCCACTTGTTCGAGAAATCACATTTGAAAATGGAGAGGTGAGCCTGTTCTAACACTTTTCAATATCCGGTGGAATTAAACATGAAATGAACAACGTTGAGAATAAGAATAGCTGTGTATTTAGAACACTAAAAGAATGCACACGTACCACACGTATGTTCAGTGTGACAGAGCTTTATTCGCTGTCCTCAGTTTTATAGTGAAATGTATGTTACAATGCCAATTGCATTTCTCCTAATATGTACTAATTTGACAATATAGCAATGATTTGATTGAGCAAGTAGATGGAAGGCTGTGTTTTGAAGGAAGAGAAGTGACGTGTAAATTGTTGAAAGGAAAGTGGTACAATGATGGAAAGGTATTTAAGAGAGAGAAAATTAAAGATAAAAGGAAACAGCGATATGCAAAACAATGAGATTGCAAGAAAAAAAAGAAAAGAAAGTATAAAATAAGAACAGTTTTTAAGGACTGAATAAAAGAGATATGCCAGGATAATTTTTGAAAATGTAATGGAAATAGGCATTAAGTAGGATCATGAATTATTATTATTATTGTTTTGTTTTTTGTTAAATATATTTTTTTTGAAAATACAAATGTTATTAATAGTATAATGATTTGCCAGAAGAATATGAGAACAATCTCTCATCTTCTTATCCTTTTATCATAGGAATTAACGGAGGAAGGACTACCTTTCTTAATTCTATTCCACAAGCCAGAGGATACAGAAGTAGTCAGACAATACAATGATATGATTTTAAGAGAGCTTATATCAGAAAGGGGTAAGAATATTAAGAATGTTATCTACTTCACTACCAATCATAAGATTGAATGATTTTGATATAGTGCATGTGTCTTTTAATAGAGAAGGCATTTTGAATACTGATTTCCCATGATGTTGGTTGAGTTTTGTTCATTTGTATTTATTGGGAACATTCAGATTCCTTCACTGAAAGTGTCGATGTTAAGCCATTATGATATTGGATTGTGAAAGTAGGCAGCTTTGCAAAAGTCGATTCAAATTTGCTTCATGTTGTTTCACATGCACTTATTTGGAGACAGAAGGGCTTTAACTGTGTGTCAAACTGTGAGCTAACTCCCTTCTGTTTACAAACCGACGATATGTCTTTTAAAGGGAACCAAAACCTTCATACTAAGTTACTTTTATTGTAAAGTTTAAAAGATTTGAATAAAATCAGTGAAAATTTGAACAAAATCGGGCAAGGAATAAGGAAGTTAGAGCTTTTTTAAATGACTAGTCACTAGAGGGCGGTATTCAATTTGATGACATCATCTGTGGACAACTCTCCATGCCTTTTGTACATAAAATTTCACAATTTTTTCGTTTTTTTCGTATTTATTTGTGTTCTTGATCCGACTTCATAACATGTGAAGTAGAATATCATTTTGCATTCTATATCTTGCTCTCAGGGGAGTAGATTATCTCAATCACAAGAAAGAAGGAAAAACATGAAATTTGATGTACAAAAGGCATGGAGAGTTGTCCACAGATGATGTCATGACTAGTCATTTCAAAAAGCTCTATTTCCTTATTCCTTGCCCGATTTTGTTCAAACTTTCACTGACATTTTTCAAATATCTTAAACTTTGCAATGAAAGTAACTTAGTATGAAGGTTTTGGTTCCCTTTAACTTTTAAGCAATTTCATAGACGCATTTGATTCAATGGTGCACGTTCCATTTTAAGCTCCCTTTTTTATCCCTTTGTTTATTTTCACTTTTTTACAGGGAACATGAATTTCTTGACAGCTGATGGCACAAAGTTCACGCACCCCTTACACCATTTAGGGAAAACCCCTAAAGACCTGCCAGTTATAGCTATAGACAGCTTCAGACATATGTATCTCTTCCCTAATATCGCAGATGTACCGTGAGTATCTTGACAAAGTTTCAGTGATATCATTTTTTTCCAGAATTTGAATGTATATAATTTAACATTGTAATGGCTTTATGCAAAGTAGAACAAAAGTAGGGGGAAAGCAAGTCATATCACAGTGGTGCTGCAAACAAGTATTGAGGACTTTTAAAAATTATCTTGGAATTGAAGATCATGCACAAGAACGGGTTGAAAAACATAGATTTATAAAAAATATTTGGTATTTAAAAAGATATCAGTGTGAATGTTATACAACCCCTAAATTGCTTGCTCAGGAAAGCCTTCATTTTTTTGGGAAAATAGTCTCAATTGTGATGGTAAAATAGCCTGCAATTTGTATTTTCACTGTAATGAGTTCACGTTTAAGTTTAGTTTGAGGTCTGGCTAGTTCTGATTGGTGGAATTTCCTTGGATAAAAAATAAGCAGGCTAGTTTTTAGACTTCGCTAAATGAAGACGGACCTAATCAGTATACAGAGATGCAAAGATTGTGTTTGACAGCATTTTTGTGCATTTTATCTACATTGCTTCTCTCCACCCAGAGTTTAAGTTTGTACCCAGTATGATACGAACGTGACTGTTTCTTCAGGGTTATGCATTTCTTAAATCAGCCCCTAGCAAGAATGCTTCCCAGGATGCATGCATTGTGTGTGGCGAGCCGTAACCTGATGACAGGAGTAATACTTTTAATGAAGGGCACTGGATGAATTTAGCAGTATATAGATGCAGAATATTGCTATTATATTTGTTGTTGTTGTTGTCATTATGTATAGAACCCATCTTTAATACTGAGAGTATAACGTATAATTCTCACATCGTAGTCAAAATTGATTGTAATTCAAAGAACGATTGACTAAATTCTCTCTTTTTATTAAACCCTTTCCTGCAGGGTACCGGGCAAGCTGAAGCAGTTTGTGTTAGACCTCCACTCAGGCAAACTCCATCGAGAGTTTCACCATGGCCCTGACCCAGCGATCCAGAAGACAGTACCAGGCTCACCCAAGACCGTCATTGACACTGACCAAACCGATCCTCCCGAAAGCCAGTTTGTAAAGCTCATGCCCAGTGAAAATAGGTACTCATTCCGGGACGAGCTTTGAGAACGGCCTTCCTTTTGTCATGTCCTCTAATCCACTCTGTGATTTCTATTTTTACAACATTTGCACAACAAAAACTAGGACATTCAGGAGGGGACTATTCTTCCTATTTTTTAGGAATGCTTTCTGTAGTACCCCCTAAATTTTACTGTAGTTAAGATACGAGCATATGAATATTCTCATTATTATTCAGAGATCTGAATGTATTTTGATATGATAACATGGATTAGCCCGATTGATCAGCAGATTCATCTTGATTAATGAACCTACACGTATTTAAGCATTGAGCATTGAGCATGGGTTTTAATTTTGTGATTACACTAGGACCCACCTTCTAAAGAGTTGCATTCCTACTCATTCTCAAATTAAGTTGTGATCTATTTGAATCAATTGCAACTCCTCAGAAGATGAGGCTCTTATCTAACACCAAACATGAATTCAACCAGAGTTGTTTGGTCAGTCTCAGATATTTGACACGTAATGCTTGCGGGACCTGTTACCTCTCGTGTACAAAGCCTGGCTATCGATGTTAAAATCTGATCGACATATTACAGTGTATGCCATGGTGTGTGATTGACATGCCCTTTTACTGACAGGCTTAAAGAGAAGGTTGAGTTCTGGGAAGAGGTGAAAAATAATTTGTGAGCGTTATCATTGTATTATGCAAGTGTGGAAGAACATCAGATAAAAAATGTTCCCTGAAAAGCATGGCTCTTCAAATGCCTTAATATTCTAAATATGGCATGTAACATCATAAAAATCGAGACAGATTTTTATGCCACATGTTCATGTAGTCCCATATACATCTTTCTGTGTACAGTGCTTGTAACTTTACCAGGACGGGCCTAATTGCTTATCAATTTGATGAGTCCAGAACATTGCAGTACACACCAACACTTATATGCTAGACGATCAACCTTTTTTCTGATGGATTCCACAACGTTTCTTTCACAATGCAATCGCATGACCAGAACTCAACTTTATCTTTAAATTTGATTCTGATGTCCAGAAAACGAGAAACTCTGGCACACTTCAGGGTAGTTGCATAATGTACCAAACCTCTCCCCCAAAATACTCACAAGGCACAACAAAACTTCGAGATTCCCATATGCTGCAAACACTTACCATAACTTGAGAAATTACCTGATTCATTAAATTTTTATTTTAAGTTTTGTCACTTGGAAGTGTTTTCAACATTCACTAGATTTTGAAGGAAAGTAAGGAATTATTCTGATTCATCATTATTTTGAAATGGTAGATGACAGAAATAAGTGGGAAAATATCTGTGTTTGTTTGCAAACCGAAGCCTGCGTTGTTTATATTCAAACTGTCTTTCCGTTTTTGAAACACATAGACACTAAATTTATTCTCGTTATCTTTTGTCAAGCAATAAAATGATGTGATATCTTTTTTTCCATTAGAGATGTACTGTTGCATGCATTTTAGAGTTTGTATATATTTGGAATATTATCTTTGATTTTGTTGTATTCTCAAAATTATGACACAAATATAAGACACAAAGAGTCATTTTTATCAAGCACTACATATTTAAATTTCAAGGGCTTCAAAATTGTGTTCAAGTAATTTGTAGCAAATGCAGCAGATATTTGTATTTGGTAATTATTATCCTTTTCAGCTGTTTGATGCAAGAGCTGAAGTCTGTTTCTCACAGTCATGCACATACTACATATCCAGCTTGTGGTATGAATAAATTCTCTAAGTACCGGTAGTTTCAATGTTTGACTCAGAGATGGCACAAAGATAATGATTACATTAGAAATGTGTCGATTTATCGTAATTTTTTAGGACTTTGTAAAAGGTAGTGATTCTTATACATGTACACATTCTTTGAGGCACTTTAGGCTGTGTACTGTGTTCATAGGGAATTCCTGAAGAAGCAGGAGCATGATATACTGATATAAATAAAAATTTACTGTACTAAGCTTTTATTTGAAGGAGTAGGGGCAGAGTCAGGTTCTCCCCCTCTGCGATAAGTCTGGGGTGCAGAACTCTACTCGTATGAATCCATACGATACACATGGACTTGAACAACAGCTTACAAGTTTTATGTTTGCGATAAATATGGCACAAAATATTCCACCCCAAGCCTATGAAGGTCTGATTGAAGAGAGAAATCAGACCAGGGTCCTGAAGATAAGAACTGACACACAATTAATATTTAAAATCTATTTTGTCTTCAGACTTGCTGCCATTACCTGTATCGGAAGGTGCAGTGTATCTGGCTGTGACATCAAATCAATTGTAGCCTAAGCACTTGCTATTGGTCGAACCATGTTTTCAAAAAGGAATTCTTATAAACTTTTAAATTGGCAAGTGTGAATTTATGATGGGCCAAATATCTCATAAATACCACCATGTTTCAAATAAAGCATCTTTCAAAAGCACGCAAGCACCCCGGAAGTGATTTGATCTTGATCATTTTTCAATTATAAAATTGAGTAGGGGCTTTGTAATCATGTCGGGACCTATCAAAAGGGAGTGCTCTGAGGAAAACGCCTCAATTGACTACAGGTGTGTACAAGTGCTACCAGACCCTTGAGGCATGTACCTTGGTTTGCGTTTTGATAGCGCAACCGCACAGTCCACCCTTTAAACGAAAACAGAGTCTTCAATAGTTATCAACTTTTTGTGCTTTTTGTTTTAATGTTTAAGGCCCTTGTGCTTTAAAATTTAATTATTTGCAATACCAATATAAGTATGTACATGTTTGTACATCAAACTGCAATTCATTTAGGGGATGCGCTTTGTATGATTGTATAAACTGTTGGGTTACAGGGGAAGTTTAGATTTTGTATCAATGAACCGTATATGCTAGATGTTACAGTCCCAGAAGAAATTCATTGTTTTCAAATATATGTCGAAGAGATTCATATAAGGATTTTTTTTTTTTGTACAGCTCAAGTTCTAGTTGAGAATTTCAAATTGATACTTTTATTTGTTTTGTAAGATAAAATCTTGATAGCATTCATAGCCATAGCCATTACTTTGTGTTTTAAAGAATACTCCATAGGTCAGTGATTAATCTGTGTAAAGAATTCACCTGATATATATACAACAGAATACAAAATAGAAAAACAAAGGGTGTTAAGAAATACAAGATTTAAGGCCTATATCTATTCAGAGTATCATAATAAGTTCTTTTGGGGGAAATTGTTTTACGGTAATGGCGTTTTATTTTCCTTCTCTGTATTTCCATTAATCGTAAATTTGTTATGTTTAATGTAGTTAGATTTTGTTTGCAATACATTTCGATTTTAAAAAAATTGTAGAGGGGAAATTATGTTTGTATTTTATTTTAAATTTTGTGTTGTTAATTTCTCTTCCAAAAATGCTTTTGTAGATACATTAGATTATACTATACTAATGTTATTTATTAGTTTGTACAATGGTTAGGGACTGTCTTTAATAGTAATTTTTTTTAGAGCTGGTAATGCTTATTGACATCCGATATCGGGTGAAAAGAAATTTGTCCTACAGATGTTGATTTCCAAAACTGATGTTTTCAGAGGAAAGTGATACTATTTTTCTGTGTGTTTTAAGGTAGGTCAAGTAATGTGTAAGATCAGGATATGTTGCAATACATAAATTGTGTTGAAAACATATACATGATAGGGGAATGAACAGTGCAAGATGAACATAACTCTTTTCTTGTTGTCTTACATTAATCACTTGAAATTCAAGTATGTTTATAACTCCAAGGTCCTATCTATAAACTCAACATACTTCAACCTATAAAGCAATTGTGAAGATTTGACTTTCTTCCATTTTAAGTGTAGTTGCTATGTGTCTGTGAGGGATAATCATTATTTCTTCTTTTTCTTCAGTACGAGGGAGACACAGACAGTCTGTAGTTGCCATGGCTATATGCTACTAGGCATGTCCAAGTATAAACGACTGTCATGGCTTTATGTACTTGCAGGTACACTTCAGTTTATCAGTATGTTTTTCAATGAGTAAGGACTGAACTTTTTGCTGAGAAGTTTATAGAAATGAATCTGACAGAAATCCATATTGTTTTCAGAGAGTTTATGCCAAAATCTTATTCTTTTCTGATTGTTTCATTTCCTTGTGATTGCTGAAATTCAATAAATTCTTTCTCTTTAAAATTAAACATGTTTTAATTTGGTTTGTCCATTTAATGCTGCAGTGGTGTCACATACCTGCCAACCCTCCCGAATAATCCGGAATATCCTGTTTTCCCGGATTTTTAGGACCCCAAAATGCGGGATCTCCTGATTTTTAAAAAAAAAATTTTTGATTTTTTTGATTTTGTGTGTGTGTGTGTGTGTGTTGCTCAAGCCAAATTAAGTTTGTTTTATCATATGCTGCGATGTGAGAGTTCACGTATTGCGTGCGTTGAAGGGCTGCAAGATTGAGCAGCGAATTTGTATTCGCTTTTTTGCACAGATTAACCGTGTATTGCCAGTTACACTGCCGCTGCATGTGCGAGCGCATGTTAAGGGTACAGATTTCTTATTTTTGAAGACATACCGTGCTAAATATTCTTAATTCTCATTTTCAAATGTTGGCAGGTATGGTGTCGTGCTTTACAAGCCTGACAATATTCAACCTATCTTGCTAAAAAGGTGTCACTATTGGAGTGATGATGATCTCCATTCAAAGTAGCCTGGTGTTGATGCAAATCTGCCAACTATTCCTACATTTATGAGGAAAAAAAATTCTACATTTATTTGTGAAAAAAATTCTACATTTTTTTAGCCTTCAAACTAATGTCACAAAGTCTAGATTCCCCTTTTTTATGATTTAATCTGTACAGGAAAAACATATAAAATATTCTGGATTCCAATTGTTGCCTTCAGAGATTCCTAATTTTTGGTGTGGAATCTTTGAGGGTATGTGATGCCCTTGCAAGTATGAAAACAAAATTGCCAACTAGATGTTCATTGATAAAAAAAAATTGATGGCCCACAAGTTTATTTGTATGAATATTAATCCGTATCACCTGATAAACTGATTGAGTGGCCTTCTGAATGCTTTTAATCTACTCTGAAATCAGTTATACCACACTAGCTCCTGCGACGGTTGTTTGGTCTACTTCAATTTGCTATACTAACTGGATTAACTTCAAATGATTCAAATTATTTTATTTCTCATGCAAAACATAATACACGAATAATTATATCACAACGAATATGCAATGAAACGACAAATATAATGGAAAAAAAGCAAGAGAAAAGAGGAGTTAACTTGAAGCGGAGCTTGTTGAAGTGTTTGTTCCTCAGATGCTGTTTTGCAATAAAACATGAACAAAGTATGCTTAGAAATCAATAAATGGACAAATATGTAGCTAATTAATTCTACATAAATTGGGGGGGGGAAAAAAAAAAAGAGGAAAAAATGGAGGAAAATAGTAGAAGGCAAAAAGAAAGAAAGATACAAAAAAGGGATAATGAATGATTGCAAAAGCTCTAGAAAAGGGAAATTAGATCAGTAGAATGAGGAAGAAAGAGATTGAGAAAAAGATTTGAGTCGAGAGTCAAACAAACCGAGATTCGATCATGTATATGTGTTTAAAAGTTCAATCTTTAACTTTTTTTTAAATGTGTATAGACTGGTACTTTGTTTAAAAGATGGATCTATGTTATTCCAAAATACTGGACCGGTGTAAATAATTGTTTTTGTGCGAAAACTGTTCTCATTCGAGGAGTGTGGAAGTGGTTTGACTGTCTTGTGGGTATGAATGTATCTCGTTATTTTTTTGGAATATAGAGGAAATCGGGAGAGGTAACTCGTTATTAATCAGTTGGAACATAAAGATACCGAGGTACCAAGAATACGAATAATTAATTTCAAGAATTTTGTCTTGTAAAAATAAGAGGTTAGTGTGGGAACGAAAGTAGACATTATGGATTATTCTTAATGCACGCTTCTGTACAATTAATATTCGGTCAATAAGAATCTTAGAAGGATTTCCCCATGCTAAAATCCCATAATTTAGGCAGGCGCGGATCCAGGATTTCTTAGCGGAGGGGGCCCAACTTTTTTTTAAAATTTGCACCCCCCCCCCTTGAGCGCCGGGGGGGGGGGGGGGCCCAACCCCCAAAAAAGGTAAAAATCGCGTGATTTTGCATGATTCTTTTCTCAAGGGGGGGGGCCGGGCCCCCCGGCCCCCCCCCCCCCTGGATCTGCCACTGAATTTAGGTAAGGCAAAATAAGGGTTGTATACAGCGATGATAAAACTTGAGCTTGCTCTGAACCCATTATTGCCGTATCTAACCCTAACCTTAAACCTAACATAAAACCCATCTGCAATCCTTACCATACCTCTATGTTCCTTTAAAGACCAAGTCCACTCCAAAAATAATTTGCTTTTAATAGATGCAGAACAACAAGAGAAACGGAGCGAAACAAATTTGAGTTTAATCGGATAATTAATAAGGAACTTATGAATTTTGTAAAAAGTATGAAAAACTATGGAACAATGTAAATCACTACACAAATTGCCAATTTGGATATCAGTTTGTGACGTCATTGCCTCACTATATATTTTTATCCCATTAATTTCCCTTTTTATCCCCAAAACTTGATATCCCCATGCCTTTGCCCAGATGATATTGCGTGCCTGACAATTTACAAATTATTTTATAAACTTTGAAGAACTGATAATATTTTCTGAATATATTGTACATGTATAATCATAATTATTGACTTTTTATGTAAATAGTTTATCAAAATTCTGTTTTTCATGATTTAACTGAAAAACCCCTCTATATCACAGCCAGGTGCGCCGGAAGCAGTTTGGGATGGGGGGGGGGGGGGGCAAACATTCCAGGGGGCTCACTTTCCAGGGGCACTGGCGTAATGAGCAAAAACGTTCGGAAGGGGGAGGCAGAAGAAAATTCTGCACCATCACCACTCTTGGACGTTACATGCAGGCCCCGCGGAACGTTTTTCAAAGTGGAGTATTAACGATCAGGTAGAGCGTAAGTTGGCGTGGGGTCCAGGGCCTGAGCCTAGGCGCGGATCCAGGGGGGGCGAGCGGGCCTTGCCCCCCCCCCCCCCCGTAAAGAGAGAGAGAGAGAGAGAGAGAGAGAGAGAGAGAGATAGAGAGAAAAGGAAAAGAATGGAAAGAGAAAGAGGAGAGAAAAGGAAAGAAAAAAAAAAGAAAAAGAAAGGTAGGGGAGATCAGTTGCGATTTTCCCGCCAACAAGGTGTAGATCGGGGGGAGGGGGGGGGGGGGAGGAGGAGCGCTGGCGTACTGATAGGTGATAGGAGAGGGGGGGGGGTTGGTACAACAAATCGTCTTTTTTTCTAATGATTTAGTGAAACGTATAAGCTTCCGCGCTTCGTGCGGGAGGGGGTAAACTGAATTCAGACGAGAATTTTTTTCGATAACGGTACAACGAATCGTCTTCTTTGTCTAATAATTTAATGAAATGTCAAAGCTTCCGCGCTTCGCGGAGGAGGTAGGGAGAGTGAAAACTCGCCCCTCCCTGCACCCCCCCCCCCCCTTTACGTCACTGCTGATCACCAATACGTACCAATATTTGGCTCAGCATAATTTCAAATTTGGGCCCCCCCCCCTAAGAAATCCTGGTTCCGCCCCGGCAGCTCAGGGTTTTTAGGCATTAAATTACGGTCAGATAAGCATATTTAGATACCTTATTTGTGACACTGGCAGTTCACTAACTGGAGTCCAGGGGGTTGAGCCCCCGGAAGCTCAGGGGTTTTAGGTATTTATTAACGGTTAGATGAGCATCCAGGGGCCCTCTTTAAGGGCATTTGATTTGGTCCAGGGGACAGATTCCCCGGCAGCTCAGAGGATTTAGATATTTAACCAAGGTCAGATGAACATCCAGGGGCCCGCCTCGGGGCCCTTGGAGGGGTCCAGGGGGCAGAGCCCCGGAAGCTCAGGGGTTTTAGGTATTTAACCAAGGTCAGATGAACATCCAGGGGCCCGCATCAGGGCCCTTGGAGCGGTCCAGGGGGGCAGAGCCCCGGAAACTCAAGGTGTTTAGGTAAGTACAGTCAGATGAGCATCAAGGGGCCCGCCTTAGGGCCCTGGTGGGGTATGACTCACAAAAAAAATTGAGAAAAAATACCGGAAAATCATGTCTTTTCAGCAACATTTGTAAATCACTGGTATCGAATGAGAAATACCCCCCCCCCCCCCCTCTTTCAGTACGCCAGCGTTCAGGGGCTCATATATTCTCATCCCTATTAACAAAAACACACACGCTTTCCCGTCCTCTCACAATATTTCCATGATATGTGCGTATCGCTATTATAAAAACCTTCATTGATAAATATAGGTGGCATGCGGAATGTTTAGGAAATTTAATTCCTGTTAACTTTCCTTTTCTTTTAATGGAATTTTATATGTAAATTAATTCAGGTTTGTATTATTGTTATGTTATTTTGGGTTAAAAATACAAACCACCTTTACTCCTTTACTGCCTTTTTTCCTTTTTGGGGAGGGGGGGGGGCGTTTTTTTTTTTTTTTAGGGGGGGGGGGCGTTTTGCCCCTCCCCCCACGTCCGGCGCCCACTTCCGGCGCCTATGATTACAGCAGTGCATTCACACAAAAGCATATTACTATCAATATACCCCTAGCTCTCCAATAGGAAGCATGGTCGTCAATCGTACTCGGGTACAATGGGGACACTACCGGCTGCTCGAAGAGCTGACAAACCAAAATTGTCCGTCGTTTGAAAAAAAAGGAAGACCCTCCCCCCCCCCCCCCTCCCCCTCCCCCACCTCTGCTTATTATTTTAAAAATCATCTATGAACAGTAAATTGTTATACATCTTATGAAAATGCGTTTTATCCCAAATCTTTTGGTATCATTTCTGTGTGGAATGAGTTCTCAGAGTTCACACTTGGATGAACAGGAGGCATTGTTTGCGAGAGTGCAAAAATTAACTTGCGCCAAAAAAGAGTGATGCGTCCAGTGTATGATATGTTGGGATGAAAGTGAGAGAATGAATTGAACGTGTCAAATGAAATGCATTGCATATGCTTTTTTGCAGAAGGAACGTCACACTGGTCATAGAGATCCATAAAGATCTATATAGATCTCTACGAGTCGCACACACACGCACACACACACACGCACGCACACACACGCACGCACACACGCACACACACACA